TCAACAGCAGCCTCTGGGCGGGTCTCCTCCTCTTCACCGCGGCGGCTGGCAGGTGTTTTTTCATCTAAATAATCTAAATCTTGCAGCTATATTTGCTGTGATCAGTGGGAATAAAGTAGTTTTAATATGTTTTTTAAGTGAGAAAGTCCACTGAAAACTTAATAATTGCAGTCAGTTCATCCAGATTATCTATTTCTGTCGGAGGCGCTCAGACCCCCACATACCAGCGGTACACCAACACTAGAAATCCCTTCAACAGCAGCCTCTAGGCTGGGCAGCCTCCGGGTTCACCACGGTGGCTGGCAGGTGTTTTTCATCTAAATAATTTAAACTGCAGGCACAAGGATACCGGTAATAAAAGCGAACATATTCCGTCGGCAGGTTTCAGGATTTTAAGTTAATTTAGGAGTGATCACAGCGCTGTGTCATCTTCGATGTGTCTGTCTCACGGTCAGCTCCCAGGTTTGATTAATAGTTTGTAATAAATACATGAATAAAGCACAGTCATACTCAGTTTTGCCCCCGCTGTATTTTTAAATATGCAGTAGAGGTATTTAAAGGTAGTAGAGGACATGTACTTGTATATAAAAAACGCGCCCTATAGTCCGGTGCGCCTTATGTGTGTGTAAAATACAGAAATGGCACACATAAAGCTGTGGAAAACAAGTCTGGAAGCCAATGCAAAGCCAATAGCACAAGTCACCATCAAGTGCAGCATATACCAGGGCGATGCACTATCCCCCCTGCTGTTCTGCATAGGCCTGAACCCCCTCAGCCAGATCATCACAAAGACTGGCTTCGGATACCAATTCCGAAGCGGAACAATCATCAGTCACCTTCTCTACATGGATGACATCAAGCTGTATGCCAGGAGTGAGCGAGACATCGACTCACTGATCCACACTACTAGGATCTACAGCAACGACATTGGGATGTCATTCGGACTGGACAAGTGCGGTCGCATGGTCTCAAAGAGAGGGAAGATGATCAGAACCGAGGGGGTTGAACTACCAGAAGGCCACATTACAGATGTTCAGGACAGATACAAATACCTTGGGGTGCCACAGGCTAACGGAAACCACGAGGAGATAGCGAGAAAGACTGCCACAGCTAAATACCTACAAAGAGTAAGGCAGGTCCTGAAAAGTCAGCTGAATGGGAAAAACAAGATCCAAGCCATCAACACATATGCCCTACCAGTCATCAGATACCCCGCTGGAATAATAAACTGGCCAAAAGAGGAGATAGAGGCCACTGACATCAAGACAAGAAAGCTACTCACAATGCATGGAGGGTTCCACCCCAAATCCAGCACTCTGAGACTGTACACCAAGCGTAGCGAGGGGGGCCGAGGGCTAGTGAGTGTCAAGACCACTGTCCAGGATGAAACAACTAAGATCCAAGAGTACATCAGGAAGATGGCCCCCAAAGACAAATGGCTTGGCGAATACCTCAGGCAGGAGAAAACTGAAAGTGAGGACAAGAAAGAGGAAGAAGAACCATCATGGAGGGACAAGCCGCTGCACGGCATGTACCACAGACAATTAGAAGAAGTGGCTGATATGAAAAAATCCTACCAGTGGCTGTAAAAGGCTGGACTGAAGGACAGCACAGAGGCACTAATCATGGCAGCATAAGAACAGGCACTTAGTACAAGATCAATAGAGGCCGGGGTCTACCATACCAGGCAGGACCCCCGGTGCAGACTGTGCAAAGATGCCTCTGAAACAATACAGCACATAACAGCAGGTTGTAAAATGCAGGCAGGAAGTGCATACATGGAACGCCACAACCAGGTAGCTGTCATAGTGTACAGGAACTTCTGCCATGAGTATGGGCTGGAAGTCCCAAGGTCAAAATGGAAGACACCTCCTAAGGTAGTTGAGAATGACCGAGCTAAGATCCTATGGGACTTCAAGATCCAGACTGAAAACAGGTGATGGCTAACCAACCAGACATCGTGTTGATCGACAAACAGCAGAAGAAGGCAGTAGTGATAGATGTGGCAATCCCAAGCGACAGCAACATCAAGAAAAAAGAACACGACTAGCTTGAGAAATACCAAGGGCTGAAAGAGGAGCTAGAAAATATGTGGAAAGTGAGAGCAGCAGTGGTGCCAGTGGTAATTGGAGCACTAGAGGCTGTGACCCCCAAACTGGGAGAGTGGCAACAGCAGATTCCAGGTAAAACATCAGAGGTCTCTGTCCAGAAGAGCGCAGTCCTAGGAACAGCTAAGATACTGCGCAGAACCCTCAAACTCCCAGTGCTCTGGTAGAGGACCCGAGCTTGAGGATGACACATACCACCCCACGAGGGGTGAGAAAACAGTTTTTTTTGTTTTTTTTATATATATATATAAATACAAACAAAGAGTAGGGCTGGCTTTCACATGTTATTCAACTCAAATAGTTTGCAAGGAATACAAGTTGGTTCACTTTATGAGGTTTTAAGGCAGCCCTGGTGCACGTCACAACATTCCCTCCAGAACTGAAAATCCGTTCAGAAGGGGAGCTGGACGCTGTGTCGTATGTGGCACCCGAGAGGTGCGATCATCTAAAAAAAAACATAAAACCAAACAGACTGCGGCGATTGTGAGCAGAGCTTCAAAAAGTTTAATCGATTAAAGTCCAATAAAAAAGATAAAAAGATAAGTTAAAAGGAAAAAGATTAAAAAGAAAGATAAAAATACAGACGATGAAGAGCAGCAGAGTCAATGGGCCAGTCTGTTAAAAGATGCGCACTTGGCGAGTACAATGGAGGGCACCGTCCACCCCAGCGCTGGATCCTAGTTCCGGCACGCTGCGCGTGTGGGCCTCTCCAGCATAGCTGGCCTGCGAGGTCACCTCCAACACGAGCCTCCATCCCAGCGCTGGATCCTCGTTCCGGCACGCTGCGAGTGTGGGCCTCTCCAGCATAGCTGGCCTGCGAGGTCACCTCCAACACGCGCCTCTCGCCAGCGTGCCTCTGCGCCTCGCTCCATGACGGGCCTCTGCACCTCGCTCCGGCGTGCGTCTCTGCACCTCGCTCCGGCATGCGTCTCTGCACCTCGCTCCGGCGTGCGTCTCTGCACCTCGCTCCGGCGTGCGTCTCTGCACCTCGCTCCGGCGTGCGTCTCTGCACCTCGCTCCAGCGGGCCTCCGGCCGTCAGTTCCCAAACCTCTCCCGCTGCTTCTCTCTCACCCGCTCCGTCCGACTCCCTCCATGATCGGCCTTCCCATGTCCGGTGTGTCTCTCCAACCAAACAGCTGCCTTTTTAATCAGCGTCCCAGTCGGCACGCTGTTTGGTTGATGGGGAACACCTGTGCCGTTGCTGTGGGCGTGTCCAGGTGTGAGTGGTAATGTGGCCTCCAAACAAAATCCAAAAAAAAAAACATGCAACACACAAAATTGAAAACAAGCAAACAAGTTCAAAAATAAACATAAAAAATTTGAAAACATGCAACAACTTAACAAAAAGGCCACATTACCACACGTATTTATCACAAACCAGGAAGCCCAATTTAGCTTGCGTCGCCTGCTTTGTTTTGGCAGAAATTCCCGAAGATTCCTCGGAGGACGATGCAGATGCGCGCCGGGGCCTACACAGCTCATACTCCTTTTGGTGTGAGCTGCTGAGATGATAAAAAAAAGTTGGTTGTGTTATCAGACTTTGTTTTCACTGGTTCCCTACAAATTTTACAGATGACTGTGGTTTGTTTTTTGTCCAACTTGCCCTAACCGAAATACTGCCAAACTGCAAATACCCTTCTTTGGAACAATTTCCTCCACCTCTCCTTGCTGCGACATCTTTACGTGCTCTGTGTTGTGGTGTGAGAGGGCGGCTCTTTGTGATGGCGTGCCTGGGTCCGCGATTGCGATTGGTTGGGAGAAAGTAGTGAGTCTCATCAACCTACATGGTAGGCTACAATGAGAAGGAAGTAAAACTGCATTTCTTTATCAAACTTTTATCGACCCTCTTTTTTTCTATTGCGCCACACGTCTATCGATATATATATATATAGTTATTGAATTATCGCCCAGCCTTACCGAGTCTTACCGCTTAGTTCTTTGTTCCTATCGCCGCGGTATAGCGTTAGCCCCTCCAGGCTAATAGCATTGTCCGGTATTGCTGGATGCAGCCATGACTCCGTCAGAATGATGGTGCAGCAGTTACTAATCTCCTTCCTTGAAGACAGTTCCAGTCGGAGATTATCCATTTTGTTTTACAATGAGCAGGCGTTGGAGAGCAGGATTGATGGAAGAGGAGGTCTGTGGGAATTGCTCCCTAGCTTCACAGTTAGCCCCCCTCTGCAGCCTCGCTTTCTCCGTCTTGCACATCTCTTCCTCCTACCGTTACGTTCCGCTGTTGTTTTGTTGACATAAGTCCGTGGAACTCCGAAGCTTTTTAAGCGGTGAAAAATGTCTGGATTTAAAACATTTTGTGACCGTAGCTCCAGCAGGCGTTAGCGATCATAGATGCGGGTTTGATGTCAAGTCTGTATCGTATTAAGCTGCATATAATGATATATTATATACAATATAAGATATATTGGGAAATAATACTGAACTTTTAATAATAATACTGATTCAGACACATGTGGACTAATGACAGACAATGGAAACCTAGCGAGAATGAGTTAAAAACACTGTAGGCTGTGTTATCAGACACTTCCAACTAGTCAATCGTCATTGTGGTTTAGGCCTCCAGCTTACAGCTTAAACCCCAGCTGGACTCCACCTTCATTTAGACTAACTAAACTCCGACCTTTCCTACAAACAAACTATCTTCTTTAAACGTGTTTCTGTCTTATTTCTGTCACAGTTCACTCCAGAGAAACTTCCATCATTGTCGTTTCACTGTTTCTATACCTGTTTCTGTGAAAGTGCACGTTTCCTGAATGTGGTTTTGTGCTAGCAAAATAGAACAGGATGTGTGTCTAAGTTCATGAGCAAAATGTGTGTTTGTCTCAATGCACGGTGAGAAACAGAAAGCAGCTCTTCTTCAGATGTGTCTTCAGCCGGCTCTGGAGTGTTCTTTACCTCTGATTTGATTTACACCTCATCTGGACGTACATGGCGGACATCTGCAGCTAAGGTCGAGCTGTTTTCATTCAGCTTTATGGATCTAGAGAGAATCCTGGACATTTCTGCTTAAGCTTATCTTGTCTCAGAGGCTGACAGCATGGACTCCGTCTCTCAGACCTTAAGAGGTAAGAACCTAACATCATTAGCGTTTCTATCAATATAGGGCAGATTAGAATGAAAAATGCTCCTGTCTTTTTCTGTGTTCAACCAAACATTAAATTCTATTCCATTTATTTCTATAGCACCAATTCACAACACATCATCTCAAGGCACTTTACAGTTCACCAGATCACCCAGTCACATTGATTCAAAGTTTACTATCTAAGGAAAGCAATTTGACTCTTCAGCAATCCCTCACAATAAGCATGCTTGTAGCGACAGTGGAGAGGAAAAACTCCCTTTGAACAGGAAGAAACCTCCAGCAGAACCAGGCTCAGTGTGAGCGGCCATCTGCTGAGGCCGACTGGGGTTCAAGGAGACAGAAGCAGACATAGAAAAAGAAGCATAGATACAAAAGGCAACTATCAACCAGCTCCACAGGCGGCCCCGTCCAGGAAACACACAGCCAGGCAGACGAGCTCCGAGCCAGCTCCCATGTCAGAGGATGAAGAGAGCACATCAAGTTAGTCACAGTCAGAGAAACAGGATTACACTGAAAAACAGGCCAAGCTCCAACATCTAGAAACAAAGGTGTTGATGGCAGCAGCACAGCTGATATTTCTCTCCAGGATGGCGTCACAGCCAAACAGGAACAGACCAGATGGAGCTACTATGAGAATGATGAAAAAGGGGTCCGTATGTCCTCCAGCAGTCTAAGACTATAGCAGCATAACTATAGAGATAGCTCAGTCAGGATAACCTGAGCCACTCTAACTATAAGCTTTATCAAAAAGGACAGTTTTAACATGAAGTTACTCCTTAGAGTTGACATCACGGGGGACTTGAGCAGATGTTAATTTTAGAATCTTGCAAAATTGTCTGTCTGCAACAAGAAATTCTCATTGTGATTAAAAAGAAGCCACTTGGAACAAGTCAGGCTCTGCCTAGCTGGAAAATATGCATACATGATGTATTGCTCATCACTTGTAAAGGTGATCTCCAAAAACCCAAGCATCAGTTGAACTTCAGAGATGAGTCAGGCTGCTGACTGCGGCTGGTGAAAAATGTCAGGACTCCTTCTGAGACGACAGAGACCAGAGATTATTTATCAGCAGGTTGCTTTTTTATCAGGATTTTACAGGTAGATGGAGGCAGACGGTGAAGGAGTGCTGAGTCAGCTTTTACCATAAATTTGTTTCTCTCCTTGCTCATCCACACATCAGGTTTAATTTTTCCAAACATGTATCAAAATCTAAAGAAGAAATGATATGAAAACTAGTTCTGCTCTTTAGGCCCCTGTCACACCTTGCTGATTTGTCAAGTGTATGAATGACGTCCCAGGATCTCCTAAAACGCTGGCATATGCTGAACTTTCTATGTGTTTTTTCTATGCTGGGCGTATACATAGAGTATTCATAACGAGTCCAGAACTTCTGTCCAACGACAGCCTAACTTCTTCATAACGCACGGCAATGTAATGCCCAGGAAATGATGCACAAGCCAGTGTCCAGAGGCGCCGGCCTGCAGAAAACGATTTCTATAATTGCGGTATTAACCTAGCTGCTGTTTACCGCCCGCCAAAAAAAAAAGAAAAAGAAAGAAAGAAGGTTTTTGGTGTCAGCAGATTGAGCGTCATGTCTGCTAGGAAGTGTGTTGGTGGTGGGCGTGAACGCAGGGAGGATCCATCACCCTCACCTTCTGGCTCACCCTATGATGGGGATGAAGTCTGGAGGAGAACTGACGGTTTCCTCCTGTGAACCCCCTTTATACCAAAACGCTGCCAATACGCCATTATACAGTAGCTGGAAGTTAGAAACACGTTCAGCGCTCGTCTGGAACACGTCAGTACGTGATATGCGTTGGAGAGAAGTTCTGGATAAGTTACGCAGAAGTTATGCACAAGTTACCCAGAGGTTTAGGATAAGCTAGACGCCACGACTGATGAGGAACTGACACTGAACGGATGTCGACCATCAGATAACTGACCTGGAACTGATGGCCCCAATTTCTGTCATGATCTGGCCTGATAGCTTCACCTTAATTAATTTCACTCACCTGCCTAGTTCTGCACAGTTCCTAATTGTCATTCATCTTTTCCACCTGCGTGCGCGCTTTATATCCGGTTCGGCCAGAGTGATCGGGGCCAAAACATTGTTTTGTGTTTTACGTCTAGTGCTGTTTTGGGTCAGTTTTAGTTTGATTCCAAGGTTTGTGTTCTGGTTTCTGGCGTCCAGTGGAGTGAGAGGGTTGTCGGTTCTGTCTTGTCTTCTGATCGTGACCTGGTCCTTCTCCACAGAGCCCTCAGGGTTTTGGCTTGGAACGCGGAGAGGGCCAGTTTTATCCCCGTAAGCCTGGCTCCTAGGAGGAGACCAGTTTAAAGTTTCATGCAGAAATTCTGGTACAACGTCTTGTCTCTGTTCTCTCAACCACTGAGTCTGCCTCTCTGCATCTTTGCGTGTCTGTCTGGTCATGCTTCTGGACCCCTCTGACTCTGGACTCAGAACCTGCCCGGGCAATCTCTGGATTCCTGGAGGTCTAGATCCTTCTGTTCCTGTGTGGGTTGGAACTTCTGATCAGCTGTGGACCCTTGGATTCCTGGACTGTTCCGGCTTGCTCTGTTTTCCCCCTGACCTGGATCAGCCTCCTGTATGTTCTCCGGGGCTGCAGCATCAGGGACACCCTAGGAGACGCCAGCCCATCAGCTGGATCTCACCTCTTTCGTAGAGGAAGGACTGAACTCTCAAACCAGAGTGTCAGGGATTGGTCGACATCCCGCCTTTCCCTGCAGTCGCTGTAGATCCACAGATCCACAGCAGCCAGTTACTGTTCTGTTTCAGTTCTGTTTTGTTTTAATAAACATTTTGAACTTAGCTTTTCTTTTTTTTTCTTTTTTATAGTGTCCTATCTGACGATGTCGCAATAAGAATAATTGTCTTCATGCCAAAAAGAGCCCAACAGATTTTAGTTTCACAAGTGGAGCAGTACAGCTATGCTATAATGTTCCGCTTGATTTATGCTTATAAATAGCTTTATTATAATTATTTACGGGGATTTACAGATTATATGGACACTGCAATGTAAGTAGAACAGGGAAGGAACCAGCAGGCCACCCAGGCCCCGCAGAAGCCCCCCGCCAAGACCACGGACCAGGCGGCTCGCCCTTCCTTAAGGCCCCAGACTCCGGGCGGCAGCCAGAGAACTGGGGTGTGAGAAGACCCCGATCCTCCCTGCGTCTGCTCGAATGTGGTGTTGTTGCGTGTTGCTCTCAGGTTTAATTAAAACTGGGATTACCAAAAGGGGGGTGTCCAGCACAGTCCACCCCCCCTCCGGGAGATAAACGCTGCCAGCGCACTCCCCCAATCGACAGCCCACAACCCTATATGTCTAAATGTGAGAGGAGGTGGGGGGGAGCCGACCGTGGTGAGGCCCACCATGCTGACAGGGAAGAGCTGATGTTAATATTTTTAAAACATGAGTGCCGCTTGATATTAAAACTAATAAACAGCAAATCTGAAATTATGATATTACTGCATATTTCCTGTTCTGTGTCTATCCAGCGCTCATCTAAGGGACTATGTTTCCTACTGGCTGTCTCACCTTGAATACTGGGTCCATCTGTCCCGTTTTATGACAATTTCAGCGTAGTTTCTGAACATTGCTCCAAGAAAAAGTTTAGAGCTTCTCTCTGAAGTGCTTGGAGAGCCTAAATATTTTCAATGCCTGGAGGTGTCTGTGGATAGTTGAGCTCAGTTAGCGGAGCAGGTCAATGACACAGACATAGACAGAGAAACAGCAGCCAGGGTTAGACGAGCTAAAAAATAACATTTTGATTCTTAGAGGAACTCCACAGCTGTTTCATCAACAGAGGACATTTGCACAACCAGCCCTTATAGCCTTGAACATTCTCTGTAATAACCAGATATCAGCACGTTTCTTTAGAACTAGTTGCAAAAAACACAGCTGCCCCATTTGCAGGAAATGAATGACAAAAATCAGATCAGATAAACAACAGGTATAATGTAACTAAGGGGATGGGACACTATTATGTCCCTTCATCTCTTGATTATTGCATTTATACGTTTGTTACTCCAACGCTGGACTGTTGTAATTATTTACCATCAGGAAGGTACAGAAAATAAAAAATGTGACTGGCTTCCAGTTAGATCCAGAATAAATAAAACCCTAAATAACCAAGCTTTACCTCATGTCAGAGATTTGATTGTTATTTTTCTACGTAACGGAACACTTTGCTTCTGCAGGTTTGATTTATTTCAGTTAAGACAAACTTTATTAATACTGAAGCAAAATAAAACATTGCTGTAACTCATTGGCTGTTTTTCCAGCAGTTATTATAGATGTAAGCTGGAAGGATGTTTTGCGACATTCTGTTACACTCTGTGTTTATCTGATGTGGAGAATGCTCACTGTTGGAGCTATTTATTCTCTATTTCTTTATCCACTTGAATTGTCTTAATTTATTCCTAAATTTGTAATTTTTGCATTATTTACAGTTTATTTGCAGGTTAATAATTGTTGATTATATGTATCTTTTATTATTTCTCATATTTATTTCTAATTTTTTTTTTTGTTCTGAAGTGAGACAGGAACTAATGTGGATTAGTCCACTATCTAAAGTTTAGGTAGGGTGACCAGATGTCCTCTTTTTCCCGGACATGTCCTACTTTTCATACCTAAAAAATTGTCCGGCGGAATGTCAAAGTCTTCCGAGATTTTGTTCGACTACAGTGGGGGGGTTAGCTCAGTTAGACATACTGAGCTTTTTCAGCTAAAAATGGCAACAGATTGTAAGTTTAAACAAGTTAGTATTATAACGCAAGAAGCTGAGAAAACATAGTTTGTTCTTGTTTACTATTTAAAAAAATCTTGGCTTCTCAGAGGACCATGACTCCCAGTAACAGGTTAAAATGAACATGTTTTCATATTGAACAGACAGAATACGACTGCGGAGCTTCTACAGATCTACAAAATTTGTTTCTGGCATCATTATATTAGTAAATAGGTTCATAAATCTGTTTAAACAGTGATAGGCAAGAAGAGCTGCAGATTTAAAGGAGAAATATGCAACATGCAATGAAATATATCTCCACGTTTACCAGAAAGTTTATAAGAAAAAATATGCTATGCTAACTTTAAAATGAAGCATATTCATATTTTTCTGAATGGAATTGAAATTGTTCTTGTAGAGATGCATGATATATCGATATTGGCATTGGAATCGGCTGTTATTAATAATTTTTTTCATGCATTGATGTTTTTGGGCCCTATATTAGTAATGCACTAAAAGGCATCTCTCTAAACATCTATAAATATAAATATCAGTGTGTTGTGGTCTTGTGTTCTCAAAAGTAGGAACGCATTCATAAGGCCCAAAAAAAATCTGGTAGGTCCAAAAAAAAAAATCTGGTCACCCTAGTTTAGGGGCGTGGAAAGGGGCCAGGGGGCATTTTGGGTTTGCCAGAGCAACAGATATAGAAGAAAGAACAAAGGAAAGTTTAAACTCTGTAATTGTTGACTGACATAGGAAAATAAAACAACCAGAACAATCAACAAGTTTGGACATTAAACCTTCTTTTTCCTGTGTACAGAAATTTGACCTCAGTGCCTAAGTAGGTGCTTATTGGAACTTTTTTTTCTTACATTTGGCTTAGCAAACAATAGGCACTACACTCACTGTTGTCCATCATCCTCTTCCTTCTCTGTGAAATCCTCTCCAGAGGTTCTAGAGGAATTCCTACAACAGAGCCGGCCTTCTTTTTAGATGATGGAGGAAGAGATCCAACTCTCCACAGCAGCGGATCTGTATGGCAACTAGCTGCATTTGCAATTTGATCAAATTTTGGAGAACAGAATTTTCAGATTGCAGAGGCAATCAATACTGGTCACGTTACATTTAACAAGACAATTTTTTTTACAGCATTTTAAGGGCAGTAAGATGTTTAAAGTGGGTTTATTTCCATGAAAAAGGAAATAAACCTCCAGCTAGCACTCAGATCTTTGCATGAAAGTAGACTGAAAAAAAAAAAAAACTGAAACCCAGGAGTGAAACATCTACATGCTTGTGCTTCGTGCAAAGCACCACTAGAAGGAACTTAAAGTATAAACAAGATCTATCGGAGGAATCTGTAGTTTATAAGCAGGATAAATATTAATATTCACAATAATGAGCTTGGCAGAGAAAACAATTACAAGTTGTTGCATAAAAATAAGGAGGTAGTGTTGGAATTCAGTGGTATTTAGATAGGATCACAAATTTCTTCTGCTAAGTATATATTTTTATTATATTTTAACAAAATATAATAAAAATATTTTACAGCTGAATTGATCAGTTTAATTTAAGCTCTAATTCTGATTAGATTAAAACTGCTCATTTTCATTTAAAACAAGTCAAAAATATGTAAAATTCCTGAATTATGAATGAACAAAGAATAGCTTTGATCTTTCAGTAGATATTTATTTAGCAATTATTATCAGTTGCTTTTTTGCAGTGTTACTGGATTTTCTTTTATTTCAATGATTATTAAAATTAACATTTTCATACCTAAAGAACAAATTTTCAATTGGAACGACCTAAAATTTCAATTAAAGTAAATGTGAAGTGAACTTCATGTGGCTCTCTTCATACATTCTAAATGATGAACTTTATTTTGATTTTGGTTTTTAGGCTTTTCTGTGTCCTCATGAAAGCATGGTGTCCCCACCCTGCAGCCCAGCGGGGGAACCTGGTCTAGACGTCTGATAATAGCACATAAATCCAAGCGTAATAAGATCCGAGGAATATTAAGGAATCTGTTGTATTCATGAATTTCAATTACAATAAAATGTAAAAAAGTGAGTATTTAGAGTCGCTGTAGAAAGAAAATGATGCAGTTATTGTCACTTTTTCCTTTCTGTGACAGAGACACAAAACAACTTTCAACATAGTTATTCATCTTAGAAAAGACGAACCAATCAGTCTTGCTAACATTGCTGCTCTATGTGTCTGTGACCCTCCAAACAGATCAGGTCTCCGAGCTGCTGAAGCCTCACAGAATCTGCCTAGTGACACCAATACTTCTGCATCAGTCCAACCAATGCGGGAGGTCAGGCAGCAAGTTTGTTGTAAGTAGCCTTTTATCTATGCTTCTTTTTCTATGTCTGCTTCTCTCTCCTGAACCCAAGTCCGTCTCAGCAGATGGCCGCTCACACTGAGCCTGGTTTATGCTCAGAAACCAGGTTGTCTGCGTGTGTGTCGCAGTTAACATAGATATGCCGCCCCTTCCGCAGACACTGGTGCACCTCCCCAAAATTGTAGGTGACCGCAGACAGTGGTACCTGTTTGGTACCTAATGTCAGAAACTCTGGCAGTAGCTCCGTCCACAACGCCTGGTACACCTCGGACACTATCCCAGACAACGTGCAGGATGCTAGTTTGTAGCTCTGTGCGACGGTCTGTTGGTTTACACCCGAAGGCAAAACACCCAGCGTCATGGCCAGTCTATGGGGAACGCTCACGGGTGAACTGTGTCGTCCGGCGTTGGATGAGGGGTTGTAGATAGCGAACAAGCTCGTCAAACCAACACATGAACACCCACGATCCTAGCTAGGTGGTGATTGTCCCTTTTGCATTTTGTCATGGAATAACATAGCGCAGACCACGCTTTAAAATTGGGGATTCAAAAATATCAGCGTCAAGCTTACTCTGACACACTGCTGCAGGAGGATAACTAGCACTTTAGTCTGGTTTTGCTGGAGGTTTCTTCCTGTTAAAAGGAAGTTTTTCCTCTCTACTGTCTCTACAAGCATGCTTAGTGGGAGGGATTGCTGAAGAGTCAATGAGTCAATGAAATCAACTGTTTTTCTTTAGATAGAAAACTTTGAATCAATGTGACTGGATGATCTGTTGAACTGTAATGTGCCTTGAGATGACATGATGTGAATTGGAGCTATAGAAATAAACTGAATAGAATTACCCTCTAAATCTCATCGTTCACTAGCCTAGTAAACTAGCCCCACCCACCAGCGGCCAAAATCATTTTTGCCTGCGAGTGGTCTAGCCTCGATCAACGCCCCAGGCCCTATAACTGGCGGGCCAATCACAACGCAGAGATGTGTTTTGAATTTTTGGATGCAAAGTGGGTGGGGTTTTAGGGCTTGATGACAAAGCTGCGCGACGCTGGAGAAGGAAAGATGGCAACAAGGAAGATGGCAACAACAGTAGCATGATGCACTGCGGCAGCAGCTTTTAATGGGGCGCTCCATTGAAAGTTAAAAGTTCTCTTTTCTGTTGTTCAATAAAAATAAATTTTAGGATCATTTGAGGCGAGAATAATATACTTTAAGGCGTCACTGTATGGTCCATTTTCCGGTTTAATGCGTAATTAACACTGCATGAAAAGTGAGATTTTCGTCCCCGTAAACCCCCGTAAACTCCTGCAGATCTCCCTGATTTTCGTCAGTTTCCGACAATTTGCAACCCGCGCTTGTCCGCGTTTGTCGTGCCACAAATTGTCGGAAACGGACTCTGACGTATGTGGAGAGCGATCAGCTGTACTAATGGCCCTAATTAGCATATGAACACAGCAAACCCGCGCGGCTGGCCAGGTCTGGCTTGAATAACCTACTCAGTATTGGCTGAAACCACTATTCTCAAACAAGTAAAATCGCTCGTGATTGGCAGCAAAACCAAATGTGGCCACGCCAGGCTTTAATTTTCTTAATGAGTATTGGACGGAACCACTTCTTTTTAAACAAGTAAAGTCGCTCGTGATTGGTTGGCATATATATATATATTTACATATAAATTTACATATATATATATTTATGAATATATATTTATTCATTCATATATTTATTCATTCATATATTTATTCATTTATATGCTGTGTATTTATGTCATCCTTCACTACTACACAATAATTAGGCTACCATCAAGGACATGAATGAATTTATACAGGAAATGAACATTTGCCAGGAAGCTGTTTATGCAAAGAAAGAGCTTTATTAAAACACACACAACTATACACAACGCGTATCCAAACACATGCGTATCTAAAAATTACAACTCCGTGAACGGTCCGTTTGCTTCCGCGGGGTTGGAGGTAACTGGCAGCATTCCCTCCGAGGCAGGTCCGATGCGCAGACGCCTACTGTGCGTGGCCCTCTACTTCGGCATCGCTTCTAACCGGGACTGCAGCTTAACACAGAGTTCAGAGAGATCCGGCCTACGAAATGGCGGCGACCGTACAATCCATCCAGAGACACCGCCAACGACGCCATCTTCTTCGTCGGACATGAGGCAGACGGTGGCGGACTTCCAGAGTTCCTCTTCCTCATCTGCTAGCACACTCTGCCTCGCTTTCAGCAGCTGAAAAAAAAACAATGAATCAGCGCACTGCGTATGGACACAACACATCTATCAATGCACCTGAAAAATAGTCACCAAATAAAGTCTTACCGTCTTTCTTCTGGCCCGACTCCGAACAGATTGCTTGGCAGTCTCCGCACGCAACGTGTTGGCCGGCTAGGTATATCTGAAGCTCCTGCGTACCGTCTCAAAATACGTCTTACAGGCAGCTGGAAAACAATTAAATGAGAGTGGTATGAATAAAAATCAAACGCAAGTCACAGTAACAAGGAAGGAGAAAACATTAAAACAAGTCACTTACACACAATGTCGTCTTTATCAACATCGTGCAAATCTGGACTTGCTGATATGGCTCCGAGCAAATAGGAGGTCTGTGAAAACAAAATGTAAAGCTATGATCGGTATCCATTTCCTTTTACCGCAGAATGAAAGCATATTCTTTAAATCTTACCCTTGCTCCGGTTCATAGCGCCTGCAATTAGTCTCCGAGTTGTGAAGACGGCGTACTGCTTCCTGTGAATCACAAAAAATACACTTTAATAAAGCTTGTTCTTGCAAGGCTACTATTAGCCGTAGCTTTAGGCTAGGCTGTTATTAGCCGTAGCTTTAGGCTAGGCTGCTATTAGCCGTAGCTTTAGGCTAGGCTGCTATTAGCTGTAGCTTAGGCTAGGCTGCTTTTAGCCTAGCAGGCAGTAATCGAACATATATTTACCGCTAGCATCTCTTCTTTGAGTTCGTCTTATTCGATGCAGAGTCGCCATCGCGTCCAAGAGGAGTTTTACCCCGAAATCCCACATACTCCGCTCCAGACCGCCTGCACAAAGCAAAGCATACATCCTCCACTGTGGCTGCACACCGCGCCGCTCTGAGTTTCTTGGAGATCGTAAAGAGCATGCGCGAGATGAACCAGGGTTTCCGCGGATCAATAAAAATAATAAAAAAAAATCATTCTTTTTTTTTTTAAATCAAGGCCTTAATTGGCACTAAAATTATTGAAATATGTTTATCGAAGTATTTATAATTCTTTAATAAAAAATGCTCATAAAAATAATTTCGTCAGATATATTATATCGCTCCAGGCGGGAAAAAGCTAGAGGATATATATACGTATATATGTGTGTGTGTGTGTGTGTTTACATACATACAGGAGTCATGGAACTCTGCTTACAGCTCCTTCATATTTCATGTACACTAATAACTTGTGTACATGGTTCTTGTTGATGGCATTAAAATAATTTCTAATAGCATTTAAATAGCATTAAATTAGAGTCACTCATTCCTGTATGAACCCTGTGAGTGCTTAATTTAATATGACATATTAAAAAAATCCCACCATCATCCAGCATATGTTTAGTTTCTGCCCAAATATATATATATATATTTTTGTAGATTTTTGTAACGGGGATAAGGATAATTCCAAACTGCTTTCTTTGAATGAACTTGTTCACTACTCCCAAACTCAGCATCTCTTTTCATTCCTGTAATAGGAAGTTTCTTTTGAATGGATTTGATTAAAGTTTAAGTCCCTCGGTATAAAATAAATATTTTGATGGAGATGAGAAATCTGCTTCCTCGTTGGTGAATAACCAGTAGTTTGGATCCAATCATTTAAATAAACGGTGTTAGTTTTTTTTTTTTTTATATATATAAGAATTGTGCTATAATTCCTAGTCACCGATCTGTTGCTGCTATATTTTAATTTGACGAACCGGAATTTGTCGATGTTCTTTTTCCTGTTTGGTGCGATTGCAATTGCGGATCTTGACCTGGCCGGACCTTATGACCACAGTGTACCAATCTTCTGATGGCTACTTCCAACAGGATAATGCGCCATGTTATAAAGTGAATCATCTCAGACTCATTTCTTGAAACTTTTCCACTTAAGTAATTGTGAATTGAGCATATTGACAGACAACATTTTATTTTTTATCTTAAATGCAATTTTTTTTTTTTATAATTACTGCTCTAAATGTATTGCTCTGTCAGCTAAAGATCTGTTTTGGTCTCTATACTTTAATTATATAAATCAATTCAAGCTAAAATGTAAGAGGCTATACTGAGCCTGATCTCTTTGTATCAGAGATTTTCTTACCTTTTAGAAAAATGTCACTTGGAGTAAAACCCCCCCTGCAACCCTGATTTGCATTTGTATAGCTCACTGCATGTTCATTTACATGTTAAAGCCTCCCCTAGAATTCCACGGGGGGGAGGCATGGGGGGAACACTGCCTAAGAAAGTCCATGTCAATTTCTGACAATTTACGGGAGTTTTCGGCGAAGCCTGCAAATTGCCGTAAACTGCCGCTAACCTGAAGTTCCATGACAATCTACAGTGCCGCATATTGACGAAAATCCCACTTTTCATGCAGTGTAAAAAAACAGTTTTTCGAAGTTGAGAAACCAGCGGAGCTCCGAGGCTAATGGCAGCCAGGGCTAACCGCAGCCCGTATGCAGTGGCCCTCTCTCGGCGTAGCCGTGTGTAAAGGTCCGCTGGCGCTGATGGTGATTTTTGACTCTGCTTTGGAATCAGTTCTGGACGGATTAGACTTGGGGGTTTTCGTAGAAATATGAGCAGATAAAGGTTCTACAGTCATTCATTTTTAAGAAGGACGTATTCGACAGGCCGTTTATTTAAACTCCCCCACCAGCTTTCTGTCGCGCTTCCTACGTCACAGTCAGTTGCCCTCATTGGTCAGAGCTTTGGCCAATAGGCACAGACATGGTTTGTAAAACAACGGGTTGTTCTCATCAACAATCTTCCGATGTCTCTTTCATCGGGGCCAGACTAAATTACACATTTATTCTCACATTTAGTCTGGTTTATCAGGCTAATCCTTCACTTCTTTTATTTACTGAGGTTCACGGCGGATGTAACAACTGCTGCTGAGGTTATTTTTGGCTCCCAGTGGGTGAGAGTGGGGGTGGGGGAGTGGGGGTGGGGATCTCTGGAGGAGGAAAAAAAAGCTTTCATTGGTGAATGGGTATTGATTCACCAAATCAAAAGGAAATAGTTCAAATCATTTCAGTTTATTTCTATAGCTCCATTTCACATCATTTCATCTCAGGTCACTTTATAGATCCAATTCAACCAGATCATCCACTCAGATTGGTTCAAAGTTTTCTACCTAAGGAAAACAGGCTGATTGCATCCAGTCATGGACTGAAAGACCTGCTCCTCCTTGATAGTCTCATTATGTTTATTCGCTGTCTTCGTGGTCACATGGGAATGTTTAACCTAATAATAAATAAATTCTTACTTTGAGCCACTGATGTCACAAATATCCAGGTGGGTCCGTCTCAGATTTATTTTAGAAGATGATGTAAAGATGAGCTGAATCTGTGCTTTTGCACCTTTTTTCTGCTTTGGGTCTTTGCTGCACCCTCATGCAGCCTGGTAATTGCAGCAGCTTCTTTCTGAGGACAGTGATGCTGTTTTAGATCCAGTCTTTGTCGTCTTACCAGGCAGCTGAACAAAAGGAACATAAACAGTCAGAAGAGTTGCTCTATGCTCATTGGTCCAGTTGTGTTTTATTTTCCTTTGGCTCTAAAACAGCCTCACAATCATCAGTCCAGGTTAAAGATCCTGGATGAGTCTAGATCAGGGGTCTTCAATGTTTTCCAGGCCAAGGACCCCCAAACTGATGGTGAGATAGAGCAGGGACCCCCTAATTATATATATTGTATGAAATAGTGTTCTATCAAACTGGTCCTATAGTCACTCTATTACAGATGCAGTAATGTAACTAAAGTAATTTCTCCCTGGGATTATTAAAGTATCTCGGATTCCTGGCTGATGGGACAGGTGTTGTGAATGAAACGGTGTCCAGCTTGAAAGAGCTCCTGTGTGTCGCTGAATGTGTGCATTGATGACTGAAAGACATCTTCTACCTCCATTTATCTGTTTACTACAGTGTGTTGAATTCATGTTAATGTGGATTTAATGACATTTAAAGTAGTGGAAATAAATTCAGGGGGAATATAAAAGAAAGACCTGTTGAAGACCTCTGGTCGAGATCGTTTCATCTAAGCTTTTTTTTTCATTTCTTCTGCTTTTATCTCAGGTGCTGAGTCTGTGGAGAGGCTACGTGGTCACCAACAAGCAGCCACTCAAGGTGAAGCGCAGCTCAACCAGTGGAGCCAGCAGGGGGTGGCCAGGGCATTGCAGAGAGTGGCCGCCCCACTGGCCACCCACTGGCCAGTGTAAATTGTAGTAGCATCAGTTTAGCGTTTCATCCCAATCATCCCAAAACAAAAAAGGAACATAAAAGATTTTTTGCATTTCACTGACTTCTATTGGTGCCTTTAGATCTTATAGATCAGGGTCTTCCTTCTGAGGTCCGGAGTCATGCATCTCTCAGAAGCTTTTGCTTCTGGTCTCCATAGTAAACTGGTTATTATCTCAGGTATTGAAGCAGAGACACCAATATCTGGTTGATACAGACTGAGGTTCAGATTCTCTCAGATGTTTGAAAGACTTAAATAGTTTCAAAGATGAATGGATCCAAACTAAAGATCGGCCCACACAGGTTGATTTAAGACCAATAATGATACCAGACACCAGTCTAACTGATCCCAGTTAGACTGTTTCTTCCTCCATTTTCAGGATAAAAATGAGTCAATGATTAAAAATGTCAAACAAATGAAAACATATCAGCGCCAAATCTAGAGTTTTTTTTCTGCTACTGGAGACTTTGGAGACAACATCTAAAAGCAGCGAACTCTGCTCTCCAGAGCAAGTAGATTGGTAACCCCGCCTCCTGCTCTCCTCTATCTTTTTTGCTGTCATGATTCATGCAGCTATTATTTCATCCAAATGAAAAATGGAGAACAGATAAGCAGATCATGGCCCAAATGTCCTAAATCTGTCCCTGCATGTAAGATAGTGACTCTCGTAACAAACATCTCACTCACACTAGTCCATATTGGTCATTTGAAAAGGACCCACAAAGCATCCTTTTAGGCCACCTGTAGCCTTTGCAGGCTGGATGTTTTATATGTAGACCACAGGTGAGCCGTGTACAGAGAGGTACAACATGCAAAAAATAGTTCCACTTTTACTACATCAGTACATGCACCAAATTTACGAGCAAGAGTATTAGCCTTAGCATACAACATTCTAGACTGTCTACAGATATCATCATCATCTGACAGATTCTCTGTGATGATGTGACAAACATGCATGGTTTTATTAGTAGCATTCAGCACAGTATTTGACAGATGAAAGTCTGGAAACTGAATAGATTTAATAGGTTTTATGGTTTAAATCCAGCTGCCCCTGATGTTCCACTGGGCTCTGCTGAGTTGACCTCTAACCTGTTGGTGTTTGAATTTCTAAATGCATTGACTGGTTGCTATGACTACAGCAAGATGGGTTTATAACTACAGAACTTCTATGTGGCCCAACTTCTCTTCTAACGAAGCTCTCTAAACGGGTCCAACACATGGGGGATTGTGCAGAATCCAACATGCTCCAAATCCAGCCCAGTCAGTGGAGTTCAGTAGCTGTGCAGCAGCTGATCCAGTAACTGGAACTGGAAGGTCAGCAGATCCCACTGAGACAAGAACTTTCCAGCAATCCCTTCTAAAAGCAATAGCATTAATTGAAGCTCACACTCTATGGTGTGTTCTATAGATTCTATCTGAGTTTTCTCCTGATGTCATGATGCGTGGCTCTTATTTAAAGTCTGGTCAACAAGGAATTTTCCAGCAGTGACGTCACGGTGCGGTAAGCCTAGCACCATTCTCCCCGCTTTACAAGCTAAATCAATGGGAACTACTAGACACATCTGCAATCAACAACAATTATTGAAGATTTCCAGAGGACTTCACCATTGAAATTCACCAGAGCTATAGTGAAACTGACAATGCCCACGTGCATGGCAGCTGGATGCTGGAATACATCGGGTAAAAGTGGAAAAAAATAGTTATTTCAGCTTTCTGATTCCTGATCCTGCACGGACGGGTTGGTCGTTGGATCGCCAACTTGAAGAGGGAGGATTTACCATCGAACTTCTGGCCAGAGAAAAAACACGTAATATGTAGCCAACATTTGGAAGAAGAATGTTTTCAAGATGACTTGGATAATAGCGCGTTGTGACAAACACCAGATACAGCACTGGGACTTGATCAACAGCCGATACCGCACCGTGACGTCACAAACCAGTAGGTGGCAGTAGTGTTCTTTGACAAACATGGTTGCCTCCAGTAAAGCACATTCAAATGAAAAATACTCTGAATTAAAAACACTGATCATTTATTAAACAGTACAGGTGCTGGTCATAAAATTAGAATATCATGAAAAAGTAGATTGATTTCAGTAATTCCATTTAAAAAGTGAAACTTGTATATTATATTCATACATTACATACAAACTCATATATTTCAGATGTTTATTTTGTTTAATTTTGATGATTACAAATGACAACAAATGAAAATCTCAAATTCATCATATCAGAAAATTAGAATATTGTGAAAAGGTTCAAAATTGATGGCCCCTGGTGCCACACTCTAATCAGCTAATTAACTCAAACCACCTGCAAAAGCCTTTAAATGGTCTTTCAGTCTAGTTCTATAGGCTACACAATCATGGGGAAGACTGCTGACTTGACAGTTGTCCAAAAGACGACCATCGACACCTTGCACAAGGAGGGCAAGACACAAAAGGTCATCGCTAAAGAGGCTGGCTGTTCACAGAGCTCAGTGTCCAAGCACATTAATAGAGAGGCGAAGGGAAGGAAAAGATGTGGTCGAAAAAAGTGTACAAGCAAGAGAGATAACCGCACCCTGGAGAGGATTGTGAAACAAAACCCATTCAAAAATGTGGGGGAGATTCACAAAGAGTGGACTGCAGCTGGAGAGAGTGCTTCAAGAACCACCACACACAGACGTATGAAAGACATGGGTTTCTGCTGTCGCATTCCTTGTGTCAAGCCACTCTTGAACCACAGACAGCGTCAGAAGCGTCTTGCCTGGGCTAAAGAGAAACAGGACTGGACTGCTGGTGAGTGGTCCAAAGTCATGTTCTCTGATGAAAGTAAATTTTGCATTTCCTTTGGAAATCAAGGTCCCAGAGTCTGGAGGAAAAGAAGAGAGGCACTTCATCCACGTTGCTTGAAGTCCAGTGTAAAGTTTCCACAGTCAGTGATGGTTTGGGGTGCCATGTCATCTGCTGGTGTTGGTCCATTGTGTTTTCTGAGGTCCAGGGTCAACGCAGCCACATACCAGGAAGTTTTAGAGCACTTCATGCTTCCTGCAGCTGACCAACTTTTTGGAGATGCAGATTTCATTTTCCAACAGGACTTGGCACCTGCACACAGTGCCAAAGCTACCAGTACCTGGTTGAAGGACCATGGTATCCCTGTTCTTAATTGGCCAGCAAACTCTCCTGACCTTAACCCCATAGAAAATCTATGGGGTATTGTGAAGAAGAAGATGCAATACACCAGACCCAACAATTCAGAAGAGCTAAAAGCCACTATTAGAGCAACCTGGGCTATCATAACACCTGAGCAGTGCCACAGACTGATCGACTCCATGCCACGCCGCATTGCTGCAGTAATACAGGCCAAAGGAGGCCCAACTAAATACTGAGTGCTGTACATGCTCATACTTTTCATGTTCATACTTTTCAGTTGGCCAACATTTCTATAAATCCTTTGTTTTTATTGGTCTTCAGTAATATTCTAATTTTCTGATATGATGAATTTGAGATTTTCATTTGTTGTCATTTGTAATCATCAAAATTAAACAAAATAAACATCTGAAATATATGAGTTTGTATGTAATGTATGAATATAATATACAAGTTTCACTTTTTAAATGGAATTACAGAAATCAATCTACTTTTTCATGATATTCTAATTTTATGACCAGCACCTGTATGTAATAATTTCCTATTTTCAGAAGTTTGAATGCTGAATATGAGCGGACTTTACCTTTAACCTTCTTTGTTTACAGGTGGAGAGCACATTCAGCTACCTGGAGATTTCCTCCATCAACATCCACAGTCTTACAAAGGTATTTAAGGCTTTTAACTCAACATACAATTTTACATCATTTTGTTTTCCTTTTATTCTTTGCTTAAATTTAAATCTTTATATTTCGCCTTAATGAAAAAGCTTTATAAAAGCAAACCCTATAATTTGCTTTTAAAACAATTAGAGGATGTCTGAAAGCAGCAGGTGAACATAAAGGACGTGCAGCTTGATAGGAACGACTGATGCTACGTAGTCTAGGTGGAAATAAAGAGGATCGAACCACAGGCGACTGAAACTAAAGACTCTCTGAAAATAAAGAGGAACAATCAGGAGGTCGGCCCGCCCACTTTCACAAGAGATCAGCTCCTCTTCTGCAGTATGGATGGACCATACATGTCTGCTTCATGTTTGATCATTGGAGAATAGATATAGGGAGAATAGATTTAGCAGGGCTTCATAGGACAGTCCAACGTCAGAAAGACCAATCCTACAGGTTTATATCAGAGTATCTAAATCATGGAAGAAGCCTTTCAGAAATCTCAACTATCCATTTGAACAAAGAGCTTCTGAGCTTTTGCTCTTTTCTGTCCCTCCTTTTGTGTCACTCTTCCATGTGCGCAAATTAGTGAGCATAACAAGCCTCAGATCACCTTCATGAAGCCTGTATCTCAATGTTTGGTGACAAAAACAGACACTCTGCTTCTCCTTGCACAAAGAAGCAGGCGCTGCTCTCAGTGATGGCTTAGATCAGGGGTCTTCAGCGTTTTCCAGGCCAAGGACCCCAAACTGATGGTGAGATGGAGCTGGGACCCCCTAATTATATATATTGTATGAAATTGTGTTCTATCAAACTGGTCCTATAGTCACTCTATAACAGATGGAGTAATGTAACTAAAGTAATTTCTCCCTGGGATTATTAAAGTATTTCTGATTCCTGGTTGATGGGACAGGTGTGAATGAAACGGTGTCCAGCTTGAAAGAGCTCCTGTGTGTCGCTGAATGTGTGCATTGATGACTGAAAGACATCTTCTGCCTCCATTTATCTGTTTACTACAGTCTGCTGAATTCATGTTAATGTGGATTTAAAGACATTTCAATTGGTGGAAAAAATTGCAGGGGAGAATATAGAAAAAGTCTAATCAACCAAAGCGTTCGCGATCCCCATGCAGTACCTCTGTGGACCCCCTAGGGGTCATGGACCCCCTGTTGAAGACCTCCGGATTAGGGTCCTTCTTCAACCTGGTCTAAAAAGAATTACTTGGCTCCTGAAATCTTCTCTGTGCTCAAAGCGACACGACAACAACACACATAGAAGGTGGACTAACTGCTGCAGGGTTCAGGTTTCTCCTCATGCTTCTAGTAGAACTACTGATCCTAGAGAAGGGATGTGGTTTGAATGGCCTCTAGAACCATTCAGTTCAATTCATTTCTATGGTGCCAATTCACATCATGTCATCTCAAGGCACTTGGGCCTGCTGAGCACCAGGTGGGTGTGAGTCCATAGACTCAGTGAGGCCAAAAAGTTAACAAAGGGCAGCAAAGAAGGAGCTTCTTTACAAGAAAAACATCAAGGCTCTACTAAGTTTATTTCTATAGCTCCAATTCACATCATATCATCTCAGGTCAATTACAGAGATAATTCAACCAGATCATCCAGTCAGATTGATTCAAAGTTTTCTATCTAAGGAAAACCAGTTGATTGCATCGACTCATTGACTCTTCAGCAATCCCTCACACTAAGCATGCTTGTAGCGACAGTGGAGAGGAAAAACTCCTTTTGAACAGGAAGAAACCTCCAACAGAACCAGGCTCAGTGTGAGCGGCCATCTGCTGAGGCCCACTGGGGTTCAAGGAGACAGAAGCAGACATAGAAAAAGAACCATAGATACAAAAGGCAACTGTCAACCAGCTCCACAGGCGGCCCCGTCCAGGAAACACACAGCCAGGCAGACGAGCTCCGAGCCAGCTCCCATGTCAGAGGATGAAGAGAGCACATCCAGTTAGTCACAGTCAGAGAAACAGGACTACACTGAAAAACAGGCCAATCTCCAACATCTAGAAACAAAGGTGTTGATGGCAGCAGCACAGCTGATATTTGTCTCCAGGATAGAGTCACAGCCAAACAGGAACAGACCAGATGAAGCTACTATGAGAAACAGCAGAGAGAGCAGAACGTTAGAGATTGAACTAAGATTCTGAGAATAGAGATAGAATAAAACAGAATGATGAAACGGGGGTCCCTATGTCCTCCAGCAGTCTAAGCCTATAGCAACATAACTATAGAGATAGCTCAGGATAACCTGAGCCACTCTAACTATAAGCTTTATCAGAAAGGAAAGTTTTAAGCCTAGCCTTAAAAGTAGACAGGGTGTCTGCCTCATGGACTAAAACTGGTAGTTGGTTCCACAGGAGAGGAGCCTGATAACTAAAAGATCTGCCTCCTATTCTACTTTAGAAGTTCTAGGAACCACTAGTAAACCTGCAGATTGAGAGTGAAGTGCTCTGTTAGGAACATAAGGAACAATCAGATCTCTGATATCAGATGGAGCTTGGCCATTCCAGATGAGGACAGTTGCCGCTCCAACTGTATTATTTGACCGGAGCAACAGCCTTGATGTTGAAATGATTTGAAGCATCTGTGATTAAAATATTCCTTTAATTATTTTTTTAACAAATATGATAATTTAGCCAATCCATATTAACCGTGAAGTATGCTTCAAGTGCAGTCACTAATAATTGGGCTGTATTGCAGATTGAGTTGGAGATAGACAGACAGAGTCTGTCTTTTAGCGTCTTACATGATGAAGATCTCCTGGCCATGATCAGCCACATGACTGCGTCACTAAAGAGGATCTTCCCAGATGCTTCTCCAGGGTGAGTTCAACTGCACAACCAGCGCTGCGTCTTAAAGGTGTAGTGGAGGACAAGGGTGCAACTTTGTAATGAAAGTAGGTGGGGGCGCTCTAAGGGTGGGGGCTGATAGACCTACAGTTACTCCACCCGAACGCTTTCATTAGGTTTTTGTATTTTCCAACAATGAGCTCAAACATATAGTTCTTGAATGATTTCCTGTTGCTGAGAACACAAGAGAACAACAATACACTGATATTTATAGTTAGAGATAGTGAGAGAGATGTCTTTTAGTGCATTATACATACATATATATATATATATATATATATATATATATATATATATATATATATATATATATATATATATATATATATATATATATATATATATATATATATGTGTGTGTGTGTGTGTATGTATGTAAACAGGTGTTCTTCAAACTGCAAAGGTGAATTGTCTATGCCATGCTACATGTCGCATTCAGAAAAAGATGTTGAAATGTCTGAAAGGTCAGACACAGGTGAGAGCGTATCGGGAGATGGAGACCTCCCTCATCCTTGGCCCTATCTCAAAGGATTTTTAGAAATAGTCAAAAAGTTGAGCTTTTAATTCATATAGTGGCATCTGGCTGTTTTTAAGGTTACTTTATACTTTTATAATTTAAGTAGTTTTTGGAGCACATACACTATATTGCCAAAAGTATTTGCTCACCCATCCAAATTATTGGAATCAGGTGTTCCAATCACTTCCATGGCCACAGGTGTATAAATTCAAGCACCTAGGCATGCAGACTGTTTTTACAAACATTTGTGAAAGAATGGGTCGCTCTCAGGAGCTCAGTGAATTCCAGCGTGGAACTGTGATAGGATGCCACCTGTGCAACAAATCCAGTCGTGAAATTTCCTCGCTCCTAAATATTCCACAGTCAACTGTCAGCTGTATTATAAGAAAATGGAAGTGTTTGGGAACGACAGCAACTCAGCCACGAAGTGGTAGGCCACGTAAACTGACGGAGCGGGGTCAGCGGATGCTGAAGCGCATAGTGCGAAGAGGTCGCCAACTTTCTGCAGAGTCAATCACTACAGACCTCCAAACTTCATGTGGCCTTCAGATTAGCTCAAGAACAGTGCGCAGAGAGCTTCATGGAATGGGTTTCCATGGTCGAGCAGCTGCATCCAAGCCATACATCACCAAGTGCAATGCAAAGCGTCGGATGCGGTGGTGTAAAGCACGCCGCCACTGGACTCTAGAGCAGTGGAGACGCGTTCTCTGGAGTGACGAATCGCGCTTCTCCATCTGGCAATCTGATGGACGGGTCTGGGTTTGGCGGTTGCCAGGAGAACGGTACTTGTCTGACTGCATTGTGCCAAGTGTAAAGTTTGGTGGAGGGGGGATTATGGTGTGGGGTTGTTTTTCAGGAGCTGGGCTTGGCCCCTTAGTTCCAGTGAAAGGAACTCTGAATGCTTCAGCATCCCAAGACATTTTGGACAATTCCATGCTCCCAACTTTGTGGGAACAGTTTGGAGCTGGCCCCTTCCTCTTCCAACATGACTGTGCACCAGTGCACAAAGCAAGGTCCATAAAGACATGGATGACAGAGTCTGGTGTGGATGAACTTGACTGGCCTGCACAGAGTCCTGACCTCAACCCGATAGAACACCTTTGGGATGAATTAGAGCGGAGACTGAGAGCCAGGCCTTCTCGTCCAACATCAGTGTGCGACCTCACAAATGCGCTTCTGGAAGAATGGTCAAAAATTCCCATAAACACACTCCTAAACCTTGTGGACAGCCTTCCCAGAAGAGTTGAAGCTGTTCTAGCTGCAAAGGGTGGACCGACGTCATATTGAACCCTATGGATTAGGAACGGGATGTCACTTAAGCTCATATGTGAGTCAAGGCAGGTGAGCAAATACTTTTGGCAATATAGTGTACTTTTTCACTTTTACTTGAGTAAAGAGGCCAAGTTGATACTTCAACTTTTTCCAGAGTGTATTTAAACTGCAGTATCTATACTTCTAATTAAGTAACAAAGGTGTGAACTTTTGACGCCACTGGCGCGTTGTGACTTCATTCAGATGACCCCGTTTCAACCCCCCTCCTCAACCATTGTAGCTAAAGCTTCATTCAGAGCGTCATTCCTCCCAGACTCTTACTGCGTTCCCTGTCTCATTTAAACCGGTCTGGCAGAAGACCGGTTGAAACGCTCCTGTTCATGCATATCTATCAAAATCCAGCGCTGTTTCCTGCCGAGGTCTGAGCGCCAAAGACCGAGTAATTGTATCAATACATTTTTTATCTAATTGTCTTTTCTCTTTGTGTAAGTTTTTCAGATTGAACTTTTGCTTAAACATCTACCGAAGCACTTGCCGGTTAATATTCACTGAGTGCTGCTGTGTGTCTCTCCTGCTCCACGTAGCCACTCTGCGAATCTGTGAAATGCGAATCAAATTAGATGTCTCAAAGTGACAGATGCGATGATATTTCACTGAGAGCAGGGAAATGGGAGCAGCGGGAGAGAGAAAAAAAACACAGACTCAGAATGCTCTGAACAAAGATAGCTGCACCCAACCTCTGTTACCTTTGGCTACAGTAAGTGAGCAGAAAGGGGAAAAAAGCAGAAATTATTGGTGAGGACTGTCCCCACCAGCCCTTCAGAGAGTTCCGCCTGTGGTGTCTTTTTCCGGTGGATCACCTCAATAAGTGGTCCTCCTAACTGTCAATCATTCTGGTGATATGTTGACGTAAGGCCATCCTTCGTGTTTGTCCCCATTTTCACTTTCTGGTGGTGAGTCTGACTTAGTGGAAAAATTGCAAATCAAAGTAAAGCTTATATGAGCAATGCAAACATTAAGGCATTTAGTTTATGTGCAGTAAAACCAGACAGAGCTTGAAGAGCACTTGTTCTCAGTTCATCCCCCACGACCTCCCGCACTTTAATTCTCAGGAAGCTGGTAAAGACGGCTCCCCAGGACCTCCAGGAGAGGCTGCTCAAACTGACTGGTGTCATAGAGGAGCAGCTGAACAGCCAGCCTGGCCCCTGTGGTGAGCTCCTGTCCTCTTTATAGAGTCAGGTTAAAAGCACTGAACCTCTTCTCTACTTTACCAAAGCTGGACGTTGTTGTAATCCTTTTTTTGTGTGATTTAATGTTGTATCTCAGGAGGATTCTCAGATACCTACGCTGCTCTTTGTGATTTGAATGAAATTCCATTCAGAGAGGAGATTCAGTGGGTAAGTCACCACAAACCAAACAGCTTAACGGCTACTGGGAATTATATTGACAATGCTGCTCTTTGTGTAGGACATCGACAACATCTACTACACACACAACTGGAAAAAGTTCAACCTGCAGGACTTTAGCCATTTAGAAAGCAAGTAAGGAAGCCAGCTACTTTTTAGAGGCCAGTTATGCGCTATCTTTGTTACATTTGGCTTTTTCTCCTTTCTGCAGAGACCTAGCTTTGGCTGTAGCAGCTTTGTCTTTCAACCAGTGGTTCACTAAGATCTACTGCAAAGGACTCAAACTGGTACAATATTTCTTTTTTCTTATTTCAGGGTTAAATGACAAGTACAATATTTTGAATGAGGCTTTGAAAATAAATCTATTGAGGTGCTGCTACCAGACACTGTTGAATCATTGTCAGGTTGCTCAGTAAATGATTTTGCTGCGCTATAAGAAGTGACTGACATAGAGAGCTAATGCGGAGGTGAGTTCTCTGTTTAAAACAGGACTAAAGACTGGGTCTGAACCAAATCTATTCAGGTTTCTTATGCTTTAACCAGTTTAGCCCGCCGGGCCCGGTACCAGGCCCAACTGCCTCCTACTCATGTTTATCTAGTGATAGAAATGGCCCAAACTCAGTCACATGGTGTTTCATCCACACGCCTTTCAAATGGGGCTTTAAAATTTCTAAAACATGTTTAAAATTAATTTTTTCACTAATACTTTTTGTTTTATAGCTGTGTAAACAAATAAAATGAGATTTAAAATTCCACCTGACATGACTCTGCGGGAGTAATGCAACAGCAGGTACTCATTTTTAGCCCCGCCCCCTAATGGCCGCCATCATTGGAAACTAGAAGTTCAGACCTTTCCAAGGAGGGGTCAGAGGTCATTGTGCGACCATTTCAGGTGATGTAACCAGCATGCGTTACAAAAGCTGCTCTGTTATTCTTATTTTTTATTCAGTTTGGTGATATTATTGGTAAATTTCAATGAACCAACGGCTAAATCTTAGGTTTTCATCATAGATTCCCTTTATAAGTGGAAAAATGCATTTTTGCATAATTTGCCCACTTTAGGCATTGTGCCAAAAGCAAATTTCCTCCTAGCACACCGCCCACTAAAACATTTGTGGCCCAAATTAGCTTGAGTTATAGTCAAGATGTGGATCTATAACGTCTGAGGGTTCAACCAGAGTTTCTAATGGGCTTTCATGGTGTTTTGCAGAGTTTATTTTAAAAACATTTTGGTGAGGCAAAATGTTTTTCATTTTTTCTTTGTTTAATCACCTATAAATCAGACATGGAGACATTTAAAATAGTGATTCCACCTGAAAAATATTCCTCAATGCCTTTCTGTCACACAAATACAAACAATTGTATTTGCAATTTATAGTTTGGGAGCTGAACTGGATTTAATTCACATATAAAGTTTCGGAACATGAGTGGCAATCGTGATTATTTAATGGCCTTACAGCTTCTACTGCCTGGTTGTTTTTAAAAGTCGCTTTTCTGAATTACAGTATACAAATTAAATGAGGATAATTGTCCCAAAATATAGTTTGTAATTTGAATCATCCAAAAGTAAGTAATTACATTGTTATTTTGTACATGAAAAAAGGGATACACGCCCGAGGTAGTTTAAAGTTTCGTTTTCGTACTATCTAAATGGAAAAACTAAAGAGATAAACTATTGGGATAAATGGGTATTGTCTGACGGGGTATGCTCATCTGACAGAACACCGGGATCATTCTATCTAATCCACAAACAATCTGCTAATTATTCCCGTTCCTGCATTCTGGAAGGAGCTCATGTGGATCCATGTGGTTTTCTGAAGAGTTCAGCATGTAAGGACATTTCCTAAGTGCTTATATGGAACTTGATCATTACTGCTTCTTTCCTCCCAGTCAGTTGACGTCCAGCAGCAGCTGACATTCCTGCTCTCCAAATCTTCAACTCTGGAGGAATTCTCCCTGGAGGACTGTGGGTTAAAAGTGTGAGTTCTTTACTGGTGTAAATGGTTGGAGGAGGCATGGCTCTGTCATCTGTATCACTAACACATGGCCGCAGGTTTGCATAGTGACCATAGGGACAAAGTTTTGGACCAACCTACTTGTCCCTACAAACAATCGCTCTGAATAACATGTTTATAATATACAATACAGCGTTGTTGCAGCAGTAGAGGAGTTCTGGATGGAGAATATTGAAAGACCAAAACATTCTTTATCTAAAATGCAAAAATCTTATTATTTATTTATTTTTTTTACAATTTTGGTATTATTCCTGCTCTAAGTGGGTCACTCTGTCAGCTAAAGGCACGTTTTAGAGTCTGTCTACTCAAGTTAACGATTAATCGATTACTAAATTATTTATTTATTATTAATTGTTTCAGTACTAGATAAAATACATGATATGAGTTAAACAAAGTAATTACAGCCCAAATGTACAACATCTATAGTGAAGATAATATATTAAACGCTCATGTAAATACATTTGGCATTCCTTTAATGTATTATTTTACTTTGTTTCATGATATGAAGACAGCTTATAAAAGATAAGACTGGGTTTTATCTCTGTTTACCTCTGCATAATTCTATTTTCAAAAGAAAATATAAGATAAATCCACATGTAAAAGACATATTTAAACTATATTTGGTTAAATAGGCAGGTATTTACCTTATGGCTTAATCCTTTTAAATGCAAACCTTTTCAAAGTGGAAAAAAGTCCTAATTCCACATTCAGTAGAGCTGCTGATGCTTCAAACATTGATATACCTCATCTAGTGTGTGTAGTGCTCATAATGTTTTTATAAATATAGCAAGAGATGCTGCTTTTCTCTTTAAACGAAATGGGCCCTGATTTTCACATCAAGCATAAAAAAACAGCAATGCATATTTTTGCATAGGACCAATAGCATCAGACCAATAGTGTCTGAAATCAAACCTACGTCCTTGCACTAACAGAATTACCAGAGATGAATTACTGCTAAAATAAATAAATATTACCTATATTTAGCTTTATTCTCTTCATCCGGTATGAAACTGTTGTTATAAAAAAGGTTGAACTGGAAGGAAGCATAGAGAGCTTTTTTCAAAGTTCAAGGATGGAATGCAGGACTTTAGCTCAGGTGAAGAACCTGGAAAGCAAATCTCTTTCAGTGCTAAACGTTGAAGTTAATGTTCCAGAATCATGGTTCTTGTTCAGCAATGTCCCTCCGTCCCTGAAAGCTCACAGGAAATATCTTTTTTATTCTGCTTTAGGGACTTTGCTGTGAAAATGGCCACTGCCCTCCATGAAGGCCCACCTTCTGCTCTGCAAGCCATCAATCTGTCGGGCAACTCGGTGGAAGACAAAGGTGCTCCCTTAGCATCTCATTTACTCACATAAGCCTTGGAATGGGATGGCTGTTGTAGTGAAACGCAGAGTGATGATATTTTCTGCTTTACTGTGTTTATTTGCCTCAGCTCTGCATCTGGTAGATGTTCTGAATCTGACATTTTCCATCAGGTGTAATCGCCCTCAGTCAGGAGATCCAGCACCTGAATGAGGGACTGCAGGTCCTCTCCCTGAGCCGGGTCTCCATGAGCTCCAAAGGTACAAATGCAGCCTGGTGATACATTAGATTTAGAAAGAGGCAGCTGGGAACTGATGTTTGTGTCTCAGGTCAAGATTAATCAGTAATCACATTTATAGAGTTTTTTAGAGATCTATAATGTGATTTCTATCTTTGAAACACAGACTTTCCCATAATCCAACTCTTCATCTTTGATTTATAGGTCTTGGCTGTCTCAGCCAGGTGTTATCCTCCTGCCAGCAGTTTTCCACGTCTCTCACTCATCTTGATCTGTCTTGTAACCCGGGAAGCCTCGTCACTGAGGACGCAACGGTACCCTGTCTGTCAATCCGTCCGTCTGTCTGTCTAACGGCCTGTCTGTCTGTCTGTCCATCTGTCCATCCGTCCATCTGTCCACCAGTCTGTCCATCTGTCTGTTTTACAGTCTGTCTGTCTGTCTGCCCATCTGTCTGTCCACCTGTCCGGCTTTCTGACTTTCTGTCCGTCTGTCCATCTGTCTGTCTGTCCATCTTTCCGTCTGTCCGTCTTTCCGTCTGTCTGCCTGTCTTTCCATCTGTCAGCTCCACAGATAAACAATTAGTAGTTAAACCAGATTTAGTTGCAAACGTTTCCTGGAGCTCTCTGAGATCGGACCTTTGGCTCATTGAGCCATTCTGAGAACGACAGTAGCTACAGACATGCTTTACAGAACAGGCTGAGCTCTTATGTCTTTATCTCCAAACCTTTCTTTATTAAGGGGTTCTGCCATCCTGAAGATGTTTTTGTCAAATGTGAGATGGGTCTTGGTTGGAAGTGAGTTTGCATGTTTCCATATTTGCCCAGTCTGTTCAGCCTCAGCCTTTAGTTGTTCTTCTGTTACCTCCTGAAAGAGCTGTTGATTCTCTCTTTGAGTAATTTCAGTAAAAAAAACGCTTGCTGGAAAACCTTCCATCTATTTTCCATTTCTTAACAGCTCTCATTGTGATTCTCAGGCAAATGAAATGTTTTGTAGATCTTCTCAGACTGATAGCTGGCAATGATTTTGTTTCTCATCTTTTTTTTTTATAAATGATGATCTACTTCATGATGCCGGAGATATTTTATTTAAGTGATATTTCATTCTACAGGTGCAATAGCAGTAATATCAGATGATGCTAGTGCTACCGCACCAATAAATGTGGCTAATTTGGGTGTGCAGGTGGAGAAGTGGTTAGTGTGAACGACCCATGTATGGAGGCCTTAGTCCTCGATGCGGCTGACCCGGGTTTGAATCCAACCTGTGCTCCTTTGCTGCATTTATCTCTCATACCGCCTTTCCTGTGTGCCTACTGTCAGAAAAACGAGCTACTAGTGACATAAAAATAAAAAATGTGGTTAATTTACTATCTATCAGTGGAGCGGTTATATTTTCATTTCAGACAAGTTCAGATAGCTCAGTTTTGTTTGTCTGATATTAAAAATAGTTTGAACAAGATAGAGAGCCAATAAATAAAAAAACCAGGAAACATTCTGAGGTTCAAGACATAAAATGACAAAATATTCAGACAAGAAGCAATGCGATGAACTCTTAAGATGTTGTTGTGTGACAATCATCTCCACATGGCCTGTATGTGACAGTCAGAGTCCTCAGCAGCTGCCTTTAGCCACTTCATTCCTCTCATGATGTCGATTCCGTTTCAGTCGTTGCTCCACATGTGGATAAAATCACGTCCAAATGACAACATTTCTCTGTAAATACCAGGTTGATCAACTGGACAAAAACACAATAATCTCCTCACCATAGCTCAGCTAGGGGAACCATTTGCTTAATCACTTTTTAATGAGAAATGTTTTCACTTTCTTCAAGTTCAAACTGAGATTCCTCTTATTAATTTGGGAAGATGATGATGTTAAAGAAAAAGTCTGGTCAGCAAAGAATAATCAATGGATCACTATTTATACCTAAAACTAATTTAATGATTATTTAATGAATTTACTGTTAATCAGTAAAAAAAAATAAGAACAATAATTTTCATCACAATTACTGAGTCTGGGAGCGGCCATTTTTGCCCAAATAAAGTAACCCCTCCCTCCTGCCATCTTCCAGCAGTGACGTCACGGTGCGGTAAGCCTAGCGCCATTCTCCCCGCTTTACAAGCAAAATCAATGGGAACTACTAGACACATCTGCAATCAACAACAATTATTGAAGATTTCCAGAGGACTTCACCATTGAAATTCACCAGAGCTATAGTGAAACTGACAATGCCCACGTGCATGGCAGCTGGATGCTGGAATACATCGGGTAAAAGTGGAGAAAAGAGTTATTCCACCTTTCTGATTCCTGATCCTCCACGGACGGGTTGGTCGTTGGATCGCCAACTTGAAGAGGGAGGATTTGCCATCGAACTTCTGGCCAGAGAAAAAATACGTAATATGTAGCCAACATTTGGAAGAAGAATGTTTTCAAGAATACTTGGATAATAGCGCGTTGTGACAAACACCAGATACAGCACTGGGACTTGATCAACAGCCGATACCGCACCGTGACGTCACAAACCAGTAGGTGGCAGTAGTGTTCTTTGACAAACATGGATGCCTCCAGTAAAGCACATTCACATGAAAATTACTCTGAATTAAAAACACTGATCATTTATTAAACAGTATGGAATAATTTCAGATTTAATATGACCGAACTTTTCCTTTAAAACTCTGTCAGCTTCTGAGTGATCTGAAGGCTCACCTGTAAACGAAGGTAGACCGTGGAGCAAACACCGCTCTCTTTATGTGACATCATCCAAACATGAAGTTAATCCATAAAATCAAGAAACCCAGCCTTTAGGCTGGAGGCACTGGAGTGTTTAATTGGTCCAAGTAAGTCCTCCAGATGGAAAATCGCGCTGGGAAACACTAGCAAGCTAGCTACAGGGCAAAAAGGGTAAACAAATAAATATTTCTGAGAAGCCAATAAAAGCCTGACCAGATTCCGATTAAAAATTATTAGAAATATGTGAAGGTGAGTTGAAGAAAGGTGATAATTTTGTTCATAGAAATGGACTAAAGTTCCAGTAAGTGTGGTGAGAAGCTTAAGGAAGAATTTCTGACTCCAAGAAAAAAATGTATACACATTTATTAATGAGCTATATTCCAATTTCTTACTTTAGAGAAAGTTGAGAAAACATTTGTTTAGAAAAATGTTCCGACTTTTTATTGCAGACCTTTCAGTTCCTTTACACATAAAGATCCTGCAGCTATAGAGCAGTAAATGCAGACCCATGACTGTCCATGTGTGTCTTTCAGTTTCTTTTCAAGTTCTTGTCGGGGACTAACTCCCTGTCATACTTGGACCTCAGTGACACTGACTGCCCTCTGGACACGGTTAGTGACAAACCCTCCTGCGATTATTCCTGCTGTTGATCACAGAACGTAACTCTTCTGCTGATGTTCTTTTATAATTCTTTCTACATCTTCTGACATAAATAACAGCTGTTGATTCTAATGTGTCTTGCAGTTATTTGTATCCCTGTCTGCTGGATGTTGTTATAAACTGACCCACCTGAACCTGGCCAGAAACCCCTTCAGCCACAGGTGAACCGTACATTTCCACCGCACTAACAACAGACTGGCCTCAGAAACACCTATGAACCGGATCCTCATTTGAACTCCACTGAAACAATTCTATTCAGTTTATTTCTATAGCTCCAATTCACATCATGTCATCTCAGGTCACTTTCCAGTTCACCAGATCATCCAGTCAGATTGATTCAAAGTTTTCTATCAAAGGAAAACCAGCTGATTGCATCGACTCATTGACTCTTCAGCAATCCCTCACACTAAGCATGCTTGTAGCGACAGTGGAGAAGAAAAACTCCCTTTGAACAGGAAGAAACCTCAAGCAGAACCAGGCTCAGTGTGAGCGGCCATCTGCTGAGGCCGACTGGGGTTCAAGGGTTCAAAGATGAGAAAGTCGGATTGGCCCCCAAAGCTCAGAGACATCAGGACTCACCTGATCTAAATCCGGTCTCTGCAGCATTAAGTGGCTGTATGGAGCCGATGGATCCGGTGTGCAGAAACAAAAATATGTGTAATAGGAAGGAGATTGAAATTTAAGAACCACAAGTGGGAACCTTTGTCTTACTCGCCTACTAAATACAGCAGACTTACTCATTCACTCATATTGTTGTAAGCTAAAAAGGTTACTTTCTCTTTTAATGTAAATTTCTAGTTGAAAGAAATCCACATTTTATGTCTCTATGAGCTTCATTAAAGAATGTTTCACAGCAACAGGACAGACTGTATAAATGTGCAATACTTCGCAAAACCAGCAGAGGGCAGTCTCAGTTTGAAAGCAAATTATGTCCAAGCTTTTTAAGTGGAAGAAAAACAACTGATAAAGCAGAAGAGCTTAGATGTTGATAAAAATGAACCATTGACATTACAAATGTGGTTACTGTAGCTCGTCCTGTGGGCTGCATGTATGAGAAGGTCGCCGAGGACCCAACCACATTCTGGGCTGAATATCAAACTAGTTCAACACAATAAATATTCTGAACAAACAGTTTAGGTGACCCTAAACCATTCTGCTCAACATATGAGGAAGATTGTTGGTGTGTGTTAACAAGTGTGCTGGATGGTGGTGTTTGCAGGAAAGTGCGGGAAGTGACCACGAGTGTCCAGGAGTTCTTCAGTCAGAGCTGTGAGCTGAGATACGTGGGTCTGTCTGCAACCAAGCTGCCTCCACAGGCTCTCAGGTGCTTCTACTTCAAAACCTACTTAGATTGGATCCTGCATCATTTAGAAAATTATCTATATCCATGTACTGAAAAAATATTGATGCATCTTTTGCATCTACTTGAACAAAGTTAGTTACTTTTACACAATTGTTTCATGTCTTACCCTGCTAACAAGAAACCATTGTGTTAAAGCAACTAAATATGTTTAAACAGATGCAATAAAAGCACGAAGCTTCTTTTTTCATTATATCAAGAATAAACTTTTATCCAATAGATTTACTTTAAAACCCGATTTCAAAATCTGCAGTGATGCTCATGTCTTTTGTGAAGCACTGTGCTTTAACCAGCAGCTAGATTATCTGCTGCTGGTTAATTATCTGAACATGTTTTTGGAGCACTGGTCGTTCCACGGTCCCACAGAGAATCCCGGAAGTCTGTAGGCGGTTGAACTGAGTGGAGAATTCTGGGATTAAGGGCCCCGCTCAGGGACCTAAAGTGATAAGTGTCTGAGTTTTGAACCGGCAACCTTTCCCCCAGATGGTGGTTTGGATCAGGAGGAGATTTTCCATTAGGCAATACCAGGCAGGTACCTAGGGCCCCACATTCCTGGGGGCCCAATAAATATAAAACATTTAAAAACAAGCGATGCAAAGAGCAGTGTTACCAACTTAGCGCTTTAGTCGCTATATTTAGTGACTTTTCAGACCCCTCTAGAACTTTTATTTCTAAAAAGCACCTAGCGCCAAATCTAGCGACTTTTTTCTGCTACTGGAGACTTTGGAGACAACATCTAAAAGCAGCGAACTCTGCTCTCCAGAGCAAGTAGATTGGTAACCCCGCCTCCTGCTCCCCTCTATCTTGTCTGCTGTCATGATTCATGCAGCTATTATTTCATCCAAATGAAAAATGGAGAACAGAGAAGCAGATCATGGCTTGTCTACAGTGAAAAGAAGGACTGGGTTATTTACTTTGGCCTTTTTGGAAACACAGGAAGGAGCAATCCGCTAAGTGAGCTTAGTGCTTGGAAAAAATCTTTCATTCGTTCAGAGACAGAACGAAAAGTCAGCTGAGTACAAAACATAGAGAGGAAAACAAGAAGAAAAGGGACAAGAAGAGAGGGACACAACCTAGAACAGATAATGGATGTCTATTCTATTAACATTTCTCTATCTGTAGAATGGTTGTGAAGTAAAATGAGCACTGCGAAAGGAAGAAATAGTTTTATTTTGCTCTGCAGAGGAGAACAACACTCACAGTTGAACTGTTAGGGAGGCTCTGGCGGCGTGGTTTTCCACCCCTGCATATAAAGATAATTCTCACTCACGAACATTGGGTCCTCCCAAGAGAAGCAACTTTCATTAAAGACAAACATTTTTCATTAGTCAGATAAAAAACATTTCCAAACAGCTCTCTGCTGTTCATAGCATTAGGGAGTCTCAAACACCTTGAAGGGCATGTATCTATATTTCACTCTTGTCTAGAGTTAAGAGGCAACTGCTCTCTGTCATCTCACTCCCAACTCCCTGCATAACCCGCAGCATAGACAGGTTCAAGCTTACTTCTAATTGGCTGAGGAAAGGCACAGTCTAATATCTCATCTCACATGGGGATGTTTTATGTGTTGTCTTCTCAATTCAGAGGGCCCCTGTCTGTCTTTGTCTCAAATGTCCTAAATCCACCCCTGATTGGGATTCTACATATCTTGAAGATTTCATGATACTGAGAATATTTTGATTTGGAGTCTTTTCTTAGAAGTGTTTTGTCTTTCTTTAACTAGCAGCTGCTGAATGTTTCCTAAGATGGAGATCTTTTTCTGTTTTTGCTTCAAGGTTATTGCTGCAGGGTCTTGCCACCAACACGCATCTCTGTGGATTGGAGTTAGATCTCAGCAGCTGTGAGGTACACAGTAAACCAGCTCATCCTAATGCTAAACTCTGTGCCTGCAGGTTCTGATTGTCACTAAACAGTAAATCTGTGTGCAGCTGTGTTCGGCTGGGGCCCAGGTGATACAGGAGCACATCTCCGAGGCGACAGCAATCAGAAGCCTGGATATCTCTGACAACAGTAGGCAGAACCACACTAAGATCAGCACTCACCACAGCTGCTGTCCTCCGCTCGGGCTTAGCCCTGCGGGACGCCTTGCATAGATTCAGGTCCAAACGTGTCGGAAATGCAGACAGCTCTCCTTTATCACACAACAATTAGAAAATATTTATATATCTTAAGCCTCCCTCCACTTTTCAGGTTTAAATAAGAAGTTGAATTTAAAGTAATGATAATCTATTTAGTTTTATTCACTTTAGATAAAAAAAAATCACATTCACAAGAGTCATAATGATCTGATACAAATAAAAACATTACTTTAAGAAGCTGAAAACATTTAGGTTTAATTCACCATTAAACCCTGATTTGTCTACCTGGTATTTCTAAACCAGCAGAGGGCCTCAGCTGTTCAGTTTCCTCCACTTCCTTATAGTCTGAAAGCATAGGGTGACAGTGGAGAGCAACAGCTGCCAGTGGACTGCATCCAAGCAGAGGTGGATTAAATCAAAGCAGAGGTGGATTAAATCAAAGCAGAGGTGGATTAAATCAAAGCAGAGGCGGATTAAATCAAAGCAGAGGCGGGTTAAATCCAAGCAGAGGCGGATTAAATCAAAGCAGAGGTGGGTTAAATCAAAGCAGAGGCGGATTAAATCAAAGCAGAGGCGGGTTAAATCCAAGCAGAGGCGGATTAAATCAAAGCAGAGGTGGATTAAATCAAAGCAGAGGCGGATTAAATCAAAGCAGAGGCGGGTTAAATCCAAGCAGAGGCGGATTAAATCAAAGCAGAGGCGGGTTAAATCCAAGCAGAGGCGGATTAAATCAAAGCAGAGGTGGATTAAATCAAAGCAGAGGCGGATTAAATCAAAGCAGAGGCGGGTTAAATCCAAGCAGAGGCGGATTAAATCAAAGCAGAGGCGGATTAAATCAAAGCAGAGGCGGGTTAAATCAAAGCAGAGGTGGACTAATAATCCAGCTGCTCATATCCACAGTCACTGGTCAACTGATGTTCTCAAAGCAGCTAAACCAGACTGAGCAGCTTTAATCTTCACCAATCCCAGGATTAATTTATTTGCTCAACTTTGTGGTTTTTGTCTGTAAAAACTAATTTCTCCTGTGATGGACTGGAAACGGTTGGTCTTCCACCATCTATCCCCCCTGGTGAAGACTCAATTGGATCCACTGCAGTTTGCCTACCAGCCTGGGATTGGGGCAGATGATGTCATCATCTTCCTGCACCCAGCCCTAACTCACCTAGAAAAACCTGGAAGTACTGCAAGGATCATCTTCTTTGATTTCTCTACTGCTTTCAACACCATCCACCCAGGACTCAGCTGCAGCTTTCAGCAGTGGACCAGTACATGTCCCATTGGATTCTGGACTACCTCACTGGCCGCTAACAGTATGTGAGGGCACAGGGCTGTGTCTCAGATAGGTTGGTCTGCAGTACGGGGGTCCCACATGGAACAGTGCCGCCACCGTTCCTCTTCACCCTCTACACTGCAGACTTCTCCTTCAACTCCCCACCCCACCACCTCCAGAAGTTCTCTGACCATTCTGCCATAGTTGGCCTCATCACAGGATGGGACATCTCAGAGGACAGACAGTGGACCTAGAACTTGGTGTGGTGCCAGCAGAACCACCCTCTGATTAATGCAGGGAAAACCAAGGAGCTAGTGGTGGACTTAGGCAGAAGCAGATCCACTCCACTGCCACGGCTGAACATGCAGGGATAGTGGACTCTTCTAAGTACCCAGGTGTTCAGCTGAACAACAAACTGGACTGGACTCCCAACACTGAGGCTCTGGATCAGAAAGGTCAGAGCAGACTCTTCCTGCTGAGGAGACAGCAGGGGGTGCTCCTAAAGACCTTCTCTGACTCTGCTGTGGCTTCATCCGTCTTCTATGGAGCTGTCTGTTGGAGCAGCGGCTTATCTGTAGCTGAGAGGAAGAAGAGAAAGGAAGAATCTAGAACCACCACTGTTCCCAACAACCTCCATCAGTTGTTCCATTCATGCTGATTTTGCACAGTTTCTACCTTCGTCAGTTAAATAACATGCTGCTGTCATTTTACACATCTCTGATGTTGCTTCTATTTTCAAATATCCATCACTGTAAAAATGCCCATAGCTGCATATTGGTTATTTATTCTCCGGGTGCACGGTTTTTATATTGTTAAAATACTTCTGATACATTTTTCTGAGGTCCACATCTGTGTGACTTTTTTTTTCTATAACCTTTGCTGATGTAAACACCAGAACTTCCCCCAAGGTTGGGTTATAAAGGGATTTTCTATTCTATTTTAAACTGGAACTGGATCTCAGTGACCCGTTTCATGGTGACCGTCCATCAGCCGTGTCCCCTGTGTTTCACCCTCAGGTTTTGAGAACGACATGGTGACCCTGGTTCTGTCTGTGGGTCGATGCAAGTCTCTTCGTCACCTTGCTCTTGGGAGGAACTTTGCCATGAAGTCCAGGTGAAGGATGCACACAGATTAATTTCCTTTACAGCAGTTAGATCTGCTGGCTCCACCTTTCTGAGGCCTCTTCAGCTGGGTGTGTTGTCTTATTTCCCCAATGAAGGGGAAATAAATCATACCATCCACCTTCACAGGTTCCTCTGGTTTACAGTTGACACATGCATCTTATTTAAGGTTCATTTTTCTTTTCTTTTTGATGTTATTCAAAGTTGAATTTGAAAACTAAAAAGGATTTACCTGATAGCTGATCCTATTAGCTTTTGACAAGTTTAGCCTTTTTTGGCCAAATTGATAAGGTTGACACATTCACTCAGAGCTCTATCAGAGCTTAACAAGATCAGCTCTGATTGTTAAGTAGCACCTTAAATATGGTTTTACTTCTTGCTGAGTTCAGCTTCTATTACAACAGATCTGCACCAGCTATCTTTGTTAAATGTGATGATTGGTGTCCTGGGATTGGAGTAGGACATCATTTTTATATTTTAAAAGCACAAAGGGCTTAAAAGAGTGTTTTTCAATTTGATATGTTGCTTTCTGTTCCCTGCATCCTGCCATGTTGATCCGGAGCAGAGCTCTCACCGACCTTCTTCATCGCATTGCCCAGCTCATTCAGGATGAGGAGTGTGTGAGTCAAACTGTCGTTGGCTTTCATCATTTCTTCACGTTGCTTCTTTGTTTACGACTAAATCTGGGCAGAGGTAGACTATCCCTCTGGAGTCCAAGGCTTTGCTTGTTTTTGGGGCTATTGTACCAAAGACTGAGAGGCTGCAGCTGCTGCAGGGCTCAGAAAAAGGCAATAAAGATAAAAAGGAGTCATAATACTTACTGTCACATGGTGCTTCTTGGTATTGATTCAGTTCAGTTATTTCTATAGTTCTAATTCAAACTATAGAAGACATTTCAATCAGATTAGAAGTAAACTGATGGTAAAAAGAAGACATTATTTAACTCACCTTTAGCCCTTACTGGTTTGTCTCTGTTTATCTTTAACCCCTTTATAAGGCAAGTTAGCGTTTCTGATCACTTGCATACCCCTAACTAATGGAGTCCCTCCATCCTTCAGTGAGGTCTAGAAGCACAAGATCTATATCCAGCCATTCAACAAAGATCCTGCTACATGGCTTTTCTTTTTATTTTGGCATTTGACCAATTAGATGAGCCCTTGAAGGATATAATACCTACTGGAAATTAAGTTGAAAAAAAAAAAAAAAGTTAACAAGTCAGGAAAAAAAGGTAAAAATCTACATGAAAAGTTAAAAAGTTAATAAGCCTAGTTAACAATAATATTTAGGTTTATAAACTAAAAAAATGTCAGTTTCTGTATCGGTATTAATGCCTCTAAGGTTATGTTGGACCAAAAAATGTGTTTCTTTCACTCTCAGAGTGTTTTTCATGAATTTCTTTCTTTTCTTTATTTTTCTTAATTTATTCGGGCTTGTTGGTGTTTCTTGTTATGTCCGGTTCAGTGGTGCGCGCCATTTACACTCCACACTTAGCTTGATTACCGTGCTTGGTACGATCTCTGCATGGTTTCAAAAGGGTAGTGAAAATGGGTCTTTAAGCTCCAGGAGCTGAGACATTGCTCAATTTGGCCGCCAGTTTAGCCGCATGGACACGCAATTCTATTCAGTTTATTTCTATAGCACCAATTCACATCATGTCATCTCAGGTCACTTTCCAGTTCACCAGATCATCCAGTCAGATTGATTCAAAGTTTTCTATCTAAGGAAAACCAGCTGATTGCATCGACTCATTGACTCTTCAGCAATCCCTCACACTAAGCATGCTTGTAGCGACAGTGGAGAGGAAAGTCTGCATCAGCTTTTCTCTGATTAGTGGTCTCTAGTTCAGGTCTGCAACCTTTACAATCCAAAGGTTCATTTTTGTCTTCAGTCCGACTGAATAAAACCGTTGAGAGCTGTAAATATTTGCTGATATTTGGAATGAAACATAACGAATAAATGTCTACGGCAGGAAACATGCTGTAATTTATAAAGGACCAACATTTTATTTCCATGGATCGATATCCTATTGATGTTAAGGCCTGAGAGCCTCAGGTTGCAGACCCCCGGCCCGGATGAGAGCAGCGTCCATTAGAAAGCTAATGTTGGAGTGTCATGACAGCACCAACACTCTAAGCAAAAGCTTCCACAGAGCTTTTCAGGCCTGCGATGCTCATCATTCTTAACATCGATTCACTTCCTGTCTGATGCCTCTGTCTGTGTGAACGTCTGCAGCCACTGGAGTCGCTCTCAGTGTGTGACTCCAAGCTGAAGACAGGGATGCACATTCTGCTCAGCGCTCTGGGGGGCCACGCCACTTTGGCTGAGCTGGACATCAGTGGGAACAACATTGGAGACACTGGAGCCAAAATGCTGGCCAAAGCCCTGATGACCAACACCAAACTCAGGTACAGACCCAAACACAAACTCCTTAGCTGACGTCACTCTGCCTCTCACCTGCCCTGATCTTTAGGAAATGAAGCAGACATCAGCAGCCTACAGTTCTAGTATTTTATATCCTCCAGGATTACATGAAACTCATAGAGGAGTGACGTCCCTCCTTGTGGACACATATCTGTTAGTGGGTGTTTCATTTGACAACAAGCATCTTCTCCTGTATGGATTTAGCCTAGTCTTTAATGGATGCATGATGAGTATGATAAGAACTGGGATTAATTTCTGTTTAAAAGATAACCCTCATTTTAACTTGATCTATAAAGCAAAGAAACTCATCAGTATCATGATTAGAATTAATGGAAATCTAAAAGTTAAACCTTCTGTTTTCCTGTTGAACCTAACTTGTTTATTTGTAGGTTTATTTGAGGTTTAATATTAAGTTGCAAACATGACCTAATTTGTTTATGAAATCACCAGCTCTTTGTTTCACTCTAACATAAATCAGCCAAATGGAAAACGACAATCGTCAAAGTGTGTGAGTCGTTCTGCATTTCCTGCTGAGTCGCAGCAGAACCCACAGCAGATCCTTTGAAACTCTAGAATCTTCTGGCTGTTCTGATCCAACCTCTGGCTTTGTCTGCTTCTCTAGGTCGTTGACTTGGGACAGAAACAATGTGACTGCCAGAGGTTTTCAGGATGTGGCCGATGCCTTAGAGAGGTGCTGCTCTTACACATCCATATGTTTCTCTATCTTTGCAGGGCCTTTTCATTCACTTCCATTCATTTCTACAGCCTAACCATGACCCCAGACCCTAAAACAGCAATTCCCCTCTTGAGGTCCAGACACTAAGATCCATTAGGAGCACTTGGTTGCCCATTTTTGAGAAAATAGGCCCTCCAATGTATTAAAAACAAGAACACACACTATGAGACATTTTGATTAGTATTAGGTGAGATGAGATGAAATGAGATGAGGTGAGATGAGAACTGCCATTAAAGTCTAACATTTAGTCTTTCAGAATCAGAGAAAGCTTTATTGCCGCGTTGCTTTGATGGTAAGGTGGTGCACACAAATAAACACCAGTTATTTTTTATTGCTGTAGCAAAAACAAACTTATTATAACTGTTGTTGCACAGCACTAAACAATACAAAACGAGTTAAAAGTGAAAGTTGAACTATGCAGCAGGGGAACAAAAAGAAACGCAAACATTTAAAAAGGAAACTTTTAGCCAGTTAACAAAACATTATGAAAACAACAGGGATTAGCTCTGCAGCTAACTGCTAGGAGGAGGAGGAGCCTGTTCTACAGACTTCATGTTTATTCTACAGCGGCATCTCATTGTTGCTGTTTACTTCTTGGCTCTGGTAGTCCGATGGAAAAGACAAAGTAGATACATATTGAAGAGGAATTGGAGCTTTTCAAACAATGTGATCACTAAATGGAGGAACCTTTCTCTTTAGTCAGCAGAGTGCAATATGACCTAAATAATGGGCCAGCTAAAGCTATAAGAAAGAGAACGAATGATAATTCCTCAGCTGATAATTTAACATAATGATTACACTTCAGCTGAATGTTTCAATTATTTGTAGAAGTGCAAAATCTGGTTTTCTGCTAAAATAACCATTAGATGTTAAACAGAAACATGATCATAGTTTAGCAACTTTAAACCAGATTGATGGTTGGTTGATTGATTGAGTCTCAGGTCCCTCCATCTCTTTCTCCTGTGTCGTATTAAAATAAATTAGGACCGAAGGAACAAATATAATAATTTTTAAAAGAAATACAATTTTAAAATCATAACTCTTTTAAACTTTGAAAGCCTTGTTTTCTGTTTTACTGGCCGTTGACCATTTCTAGTTATAAAAGCTCTAGTCTTATTGATGAAATTGGATGGTTGAATTTATTCATCCTCATATATTAACTGTCATCATAACTTACCTACTCTATGGAAAATGATAATGTTCTTGCGGGGGTATAAGGCAACTTCTAGAATATATTTCTAAAGAGATTTTTCTGGTTTTGTAGGAACTTTACGCTACAGGAGATGTCTCTACCCTTGGCTGATATCTCCCAGAGTTACCGCAGCAGCCTGGACAGAATCAAAGACGCTCTGCACAAGGTGATTCAAACATTTCAGTGGGTGTGAGAGTGAATATAAGACATGATTGTAAGAAAAAGAAAATATCGGATTTACTCTGATTTCCCTTATGGTTTTATGGAAGTGAATGAGAACATCCTGGTTCTCCTATGGATGACCTACATTAAAATCTCTGCATCTAGATCCAGCTGTGTTTAGACAGGAACAAGATGAAACATCCTGGAAGTGTGGAGCTTAAGCAACTCTTCAGGAGTCAACCGTCTGAAAAGGTATAAAATATTATCATTTCAGCTGATTTTACTCTAGAACTAGAAAACCGTTTCTTCATCCCCATCTCTGCATTTAACCCCACACTGCTCCCCGGGTGCCGCACTATGGCAGCCCACTGCTCCCCAAGGGGATGGGTTGAATGCAGAGTTAAATTTCTCCAATGTGAAATCAATAAAGTTAAATTATTCATCAACTACATGAATAAAATTCTGTAGAATCTCTAAGATTAAAGTCGGAGATGCTGTTAAACTTGCTCTGCTTCAATAGGCTTGCAATGATTTAAATGACAAAAGTATTTTCCTACATCTTCTTTTTTATGGCAACATATAAAAGAAGATCAACAGGAACCAGTAGAAGTGATTAAACCTGCTTACCCCAGCTAGCAGGTCTCTGTAGCTCTGTGGGGTTCTGACTGAAGATGGCCCAGCATCATTAAGTCTCCTACAGAACAACAGCAGAACTTCTGTTCTTTCAGGGATCCAGGCAGAAGCAGGAAGCAGTCATGCATTGAAACAGATGTTTTGTCATCAGCCTAAACATGATTAGGCTCTACAGTCTGAGCTACAGGTAGCATATTTGGCTCTAGATTGAACCCTTGAAGAAAACACCATGTTCTTCCTCGAATCACAGGCTTAGTTTAAAGAAATAAAAATGGAAAAGCTGTTTATTGCCTAGATATGGCCTTTAATTATTCATTTAAACAGAAAAAAACTTCAATTGTTTGTAGCTCCATTCTCTAATTCTTTCTCTTTAGAGACACAACCTGTCTATAATTATTTAACTCTTGATGCTGGTGAAGATTCTCAGTCATCCAGGTCAGAGTCATTCCAAAAAGGTTATAAACAATCTACTGGACTTTGTTTCCAAGTTTGAAGACGTTTCTCTTCCATCCAGAAAGATTTTTCAATTTAAAATGTCAGAAATAGCGTCAAGTAACCCTTGACGTGACTCAGCTGATAAAGTTTTTTCAGTTTAGTGTTGCTGTTTTTTTAATTTTCTGCCTGTTGTCCTGGATTTTAGCTGATCCGGGGTATGTGCCGCCAGCTGGAAGACAGTCTGCAGCGTATAAGCCTCTGCAACGCCCAGCTAGTCCAGAACGACATTATGACTGCACACGAGGTGCTTCAAAATGCCAGAGAGTCTCTGAAGGTAAACATCCCAGCTTCTTTTATAGGAGATCAGGTTGTTTCCTGTTAAAGATGCTTTATCCTAACCTGCACATGTTAATCAAACCCCTAAACAGCTCTAGAACCTGCTAGATAAAAAGGCATTTACCATAACTGCTGGAAACTTCTGTGCACATAATTGGTTCTGCTTGCTTGTTTCTGGCTTTTCACCTGCAGCTGCTTCCGTCTCTCTGTGAAGAGAGCAGGAAGTCTGTTTCTGATGGAGACTGGGTGATGGATATCCTGTCTGATACGACTTCGGCCCTAACTCAGGAAATCACCAAAAACTTGCAGGTACACAAATGTAAAAATCCTCTTCAATATCAAACATTTAGTATTTTTATATGCAGGGATGTGCACAGATAGACACTAGGTAGTGCTAGAGCACCTGCCCTTTTAACGCCTAACCTGAAAAGTGCCCTGTCCTTTTTTGTTCTTCCATTGTAGCTTTAGTACTGAGCCTGCAGACATGCCCAAAGTTGCAGACATGCCTCAAGGGCCGCTGTCCTGCAGGTTTTGAAGGTTTCCTGCTTCAGCACAGCTAATTTTCATTGATAGCTGATAAAACAGGCCTTTACTGAACTACAATCATCAGAATCAGCTGTACTGAGTGAGGGAAACCTAAAACCCGCAGGGCGATCAGCAGCCATCGAGGACTGCCTTTGGGCATGCCTGCAGGGACACTGAAGAGAAAAAATAAAACTTTCTCGTGTGCACCAGTTAGTTTTTCACATGATCGCATGAGTATTTCGTAAAATCGTGTTAATTAAAAAGGATTTATATGAACTAACTAGGCTATATTTTCAGTTTGGGCTACCATACAAAGACATTGCTTGCAATTCATCACCATTATGTTGTGTCTAAATGTCTTTTAGAACGTATACTGAAGTCCGGTGGTTTATTTCTGCACAAATGAAACGCACAGCTTTATTATATTGTGACATTCAGACACATCTGCAAACGGCTGCTCAACTGAAATAGATAGATGTTTACAAAATGTCCGGAAAATGGATTAAAGTAAAAAAAGAAGAGGTCTGTCTGATATTAAAAAAACTTTAGGTGGAACTTAAGAGAACCAGACGTCTTCATCACAGCATCTACTTGCAAAACTACAGAAGAGGATTAGGGCCACTGAAAAAAAAAAGTTAACTGATTTTTAAATATAATTTATGTTTAATATGGGAAAAAAGTCAGAATTCTGACCTTAATCTCAGAATTCTGACAGCTAACAAGCATCAAGCCTTAGCCATGACTGTTTTAGATACTAGCTCTCTTGTTTTAATCACCTTCTGCTATTCCATTAATGAAATATCATCACCGGGGGCCCCTCAGGCACATAAAATGTTCCATAAAAGTGTTCCTGTTCCTCCCAAACAACTCACCTCTTTGTCAGTGAAGCTGAGTGTCTGCCTTCATGGGGCCCATCTATAATAACATCCACAATTCTGAGATTTAAGTCAGAATTCTGACTTTTTTTCCCATATTAAACTGAAATATTATTTAAAAATCAGTTAAGTTTTTTTATTTTGTTCAGTGGCCCTAATCCTCTTCCATACAAAACTATAACTGGTGCGAGGTAGAAAGTTTTTTTTTTCTCTCTTCAGTGTCCTTTTAGGGGCTCAGTACTTTAGAGGGTGGCCCATTTCAGGATTTAAAAACTTTTACCAAAACTGTTAACTTTTATACTTTTGCATGATAACACCCCCCTCTCTCCTTACTCCCCACCAAAACTTTGAATGGTTTAAAATGGGAAATTTGGGGCCCTAGGCAACGACAGGCAGGGGGCCCTTTGAATATGTCTTGTCCCTTTTCTTCTTGATTTCCTCTCTATGTTTTGTACTCAGCTGACTTTTCATGCTTTCTCTAAAGGAATGAAAGATTTTTTCCAAGCACTAAGCTCACTTAGCTGATTGCTCCTTCCTGTGTTTCCAAAAAGGCCAAAGTAAATAACCCAGTCCTTCTTTTCACTGTAGACAAGCCATGATCTGCTTCTCTGTTCTCCTTTTTTCATTTGGATGAAATAATAGCTGCATGAATCATGACAGCAGACAAGATAGAGGAGAGCAGGAGGCGGGGTTACCAATCTACTTGCTCTGGAGAGCAGAGTTCGCTGCTTTTAGATGTTGTCTCCAAAGTCTCCAGGAGCAGTAAAAAGTCGCTAGATTTGGCGCTAGGAGCTTTTTAGAAATCAAAGTTCTAGAGGGGTCTGAAAAGTGGCTAAATATAGCGACTAAAGCGCTAAGTTGGCAACACTGCTCTTTGCATGGTTTGTTTTCAAATGGTTTGCTGCTGTCTGTTTGGACCTTTCTGAACATGTGCAGCAAATGGACTGATCCAATATGGTGGACATGTAAGGGGGGGGGGGGCATTTAATATTATTTGCATTGTGATGGCTTGTTTTCTACTTTAGCACCTGCCCCCCAAAGTGTGTGTGCACGGCACAGATCCTGTGAGCACAATCTGCTCCACCCACAAAGATCCTGCAGCCGAATTTAGTTAGTTCTGTGTTACTTATTTGCCTAAAGATCCAAACACATCTGTTTATCTGTCATGTTTAGTAGCCCTGACTAAAAATCATCATCTTTGTCTACATTTTCAACTCCGAGTTGACCTCCAACAGCAACGTTGCTGTTAGTCACCTACTGTAGAATAAATCTAAGTGAACATTTTAAATATTAAACTGCACAAGATCAGGCAACAAAGAAAAAGCAGCAACAAGGAAAATATAATAACATTCTATTTTTCAGTTTAGCAACACTTAATGCTGTCATGGTGTCATGATTCATCAAAGACGCATTAAACTGACGGTGGGACGTCCCAGCTGAAGTTAGTGAGAACAAACTCTTCCTCTGGACTTCAGATTCCCACTTACAGTCTCTGTGGCTTTAGGAGTTTGGTCAAGGCCTGATGGGATATGCAGAGACGGTGTGTCCACGGGTGGTTCAGCGCTCCAGTGTCTGCAAGAGTCTGTCAGAGTGCATATCCAAAAGAAGCAAACAGGCCGAAACATTCCTGAGAAGCACTCTGGTGGAAACTGCAGGTCAAAAAATCTCTTCGAGACTGAGGTAAAAACTTTTAACCAAAGAGGGAGGTTTTTCTTTTTATTCAAACAGGTTCGAGGAGTTTCTTTATCTTGTTATTTTTATAATGACCCATGAACATAAACTAAGTCAGCCCACCTTAGGCTGTCTTTGCTTTGTAGACATTTGCACATACTTGAACTGCACTGTTTTGTGTTTCCAGTGAACTGAGACAAACGTTGGCTGTGACTCTGGCTGAGAGCATGGTAGAGCAGGTGCTGCAGGATCTGACAGCGGCACAGGACAAAATGGTAATTGGTGGCTTTTCTACACTGCAGTATGTTTTCCTAAATAAGGACGCCTCATTTGGTGCATCTGAAACAAAACAAAATAAGGATGATAAAGTGACACACGGGACAAATAAGGGATGTGTCAGCATAGGTCAGGAGCTGATTAAAGAAACATTTAGGTTATACCAAACCTTCTAGTTTTCATATGCATGACTTAAAATCTGAAATGAAATGTTAACAATGATGCAATTTCAAACTTTCAGATCCTATACAACATTGATCACTAATAGGGGGAGGAAAGCCAGGGAGATAGCTTTTATTTTCCTTTTTTAAAGCAAAGTGAGAGTGAAGGGTGTGCTGTAGACTAGATGAAATCGAGTGGACTGATTCATACCAATTAAAACAGCAGAAAAAAAGAATCTGTGCTGGGTTGTCTGCAGTTTAAAACAATGTGATAAAAGAGAGCTATACATTTACCCAAAATATCGAAAATATCAACAGTAACAAAACAAACAGAAAATTTTAGATTAAGTTAGAATAAAATATCTCTAACAGAGGGAATTTGTAAATGAAGCATGAGACACGTCCAAGAAATAAAACTGAAAATATATCTTGAAAGGCGAACAAATAAGCTGTTAAAATGAGATGAATTCAATTTAGTTAATCACATTAAAGAAAAGCTATTCTCTAGCAGCTAATCAAAATATACAAATAATATAGATTATGAGCTTAGGTGTATCTCCACACTAAAAGTAACTAATTTGACGCATGGATGGGAGGAAGGGTGGATGGAAATGATTAAAACATGTATTTCAATTTAAACAGACTATTTTAACAATGTATCAAAGGTTGTAGCCTACTCATACTTGTATTCATACTCAGGTTTTCCCCAATTAAGTTTAAAGCATCAAGCAAAAGCCTCAGATCACATCAAGTTAGTTTAGCCCCACATTAGTCTTTGGGTTTTATATAGATTTGTGGGATGCTGCTCCACATACCAAACCTGCTATACAAAGAGAATCCATGGTCTTGAACTGGCATCAATCTTTATTATAAGCTGTACTGAAAATCCATCCCTAAACATTTTGAACAATTTAGATCAGGAGAACATGCAGGATATTCCTAAAGAAGAATGTTGTTTTGTTTGGTTCTCATTTATTAAATGGAGGTTTTCCATTTTCTCTGCTAAATATTTTAAACCAAGACCTTTAGAAAATAATATTATAATAATCATAAAATAAAAAGCTGTTTCTTCAGCATGCAGTTGATCTGGACTAAGCTTTTTTATTGCAGGTCAGTATTCTGTTTTATAAATTAAAAACTCTCCTTCTTCATGTTTAGGACTGCCTAATTAGTGAAAATTCATCCAGTGCTCAGAGAATCAACATCCCAGAGCTCCGACTGACTGACAGTGATTTCCCAACCGATGATGTGAGACAAACACCACACCTTTCAACCTTGTGATGATCAGTCCTGAAAACATAAGCGAATAAGATTCATTTGAATTTTGATCCGTTTTATTCTTCTCTCCTTCTACAGTACAGTCCAGCCTTCTGGAGGAACGGTTTGCTTTCTCAGAGCTTGAGGCCGGCCGCTTCCATCAAAAGTAAGACATGACCGCTGTTAACGAGAGAGGAGAGAACAACTTTCTGACACTTTCACTGACACTTCTTATCAGTGCTGGAAAGTACATTTGCATTATTATGTCGTTGGGAAAAAGCATTCAACTATTCACCCCGGTTAAATAAACCTAGATCGTTGGATTTCACTCAGTCATCACTTTATTCTTCATATCTTTGCAAAGAGAGAACAGTTCATCATACGGCCCTTATTGCACGGTAATCAGCCCTGTTCTGCTTGAGCAGCGTTCGTTCCTCCTTACCTACAATAATGGAAAGTAGTCAGAGTCAAAACAAAATACAGACACTTTGCTTAAACAGTAACAGAAAGACTGGTTTGTTATGAGAAGAAGGTATGTCTGGTCTACAAACACCCCTCACTAAGGAGAAATTGTGTGGCCTTGCAGGTGAAACAAGCTTAGTGAAAAACTTATATAGTGAGTAAATAGGATAAATCAATGTATGAAATGAGAGAAATCTAAATTTTACTTAAGTACTGTATGAGTATCTTTACTTAAGTCTGGGGGGGGGGGGTACTTTCCCTCCACTCCATTTCTTTTGGTTGAGCTTAGCTTTTTAATCCACTGTTGCTGTTTTCCTCCTTGCAATCATGGAAGATATAAGCCCTTAAAACTGAATCTTGACGCCACTGATTTGCGGATTTAATGACATTCCACATAGCAGATATTATTAGTTGTTTATAATTTTATGAAGGTGTTAGTTGTTGCCATTTGGCCAAGTTGTTCAGTAGGATGAGTCTCAAAGCAAAGCTGTAGTGTGAGGACAATCTAGACTTTCCTGGGTTTTCTGGTTTGTTTTGAAAAAAGGAAATAATCAAATTTCTGTCCTTATTTTATGTCTCATTTTTATACTGAAGTTCTTTCCAGGTGGTGTAGAATCTATAGCATGTGGTTCTACACAATACATGAGGTGGTTTCTGAAAGTTCCGGGTTCTTTAAAATTACTCTGAAAATTAGACAGAAATGTCCTGATATTAGAAAATTGAAGTACTTTCAAAAGTGAGTACTTTTATACTTGAGATGTTTGACTGAGTAACTTATATTTGTAGATGAGTAAGATTTCACTAAGGATATCAATACTTTTACTCAAGTACTGTAGTTTAGTACCTCGTCCACTACTGCATGTTATATTCCCAGTTTGTAACTGGTCTCCATCTGTCCGTTGTTGTTGTGTGGAGGAGCTTTGGGCCGTGATAGGTCAATCAGCAGCTCGCTGTCAGCGCTGTCTGGTGAACTGGAGCGTAGCTCACTTACTTTCACACCAATGACTTACAGCAGGAGAGAGAGAGAATAGGCAGAACCCTCCTGTTTGAAACCATCATCACTGTGAAAGCTGTTAGACTCCGACACACTGTTACTGAATGTTGGATACTGGCAGAACTGATAGATAAATATCTGAATAATGTCTGCGATGGTTAGTTAGTTGGTTTGGCCTCAGATACTGAGAAAGAGAGCAATGAATAAAATCAAGGTCTCCATGTTCTCTATTGGTGTTAGAACGTGTGGCTCTCCGATCACAGCATCCTTCTGCAGCTCTGCTCCTTCCTTCCTGTTCCTCTTCTTTCCAACCCCTCTATCATCATGCTAACTTCTCCTCCTCCTCCTTCTCCTCCTTTGCTTTGCTCTGCTGCTTTGCTCTCTAGTCTTCCATAAACAGCTCTTTCTGATTTAAAAATGTATGCTGGACATTAAATAACTAGACATGCTGGCTGTCTAGGTTGGTAGCTAGTCTTCACCCCCTCCCCTGGCTTCTCCTCGGTGACACTGCTTCATTTTCAGGTCTCCTGGATGCAGACTATGAGATAAACACCAGGGATCGGAGACCAGAGAGAGAGGAGGGAGGAGCTTCAACAGAGGATGATGGAGGAGGAAGGTGCACCCTCCCACAGTTGCCCCCCTTAAGTCCCTCCCCTAATCCTTCCCCTTCTACTTCCTTGTCCCCCTCCCCGCAACTACATAGGGGGAGGAGGTGGATGGAGGGGGAGGTGGCATCCGTGGATGCTGCAGAAGCAGTATCAGGAGATGCAGCATCGTTCAGCCCTCCTCCCATCTCCCCCCCTATCTACTCCATCCCTCATCGAGCTCCAAAGGATGCAGCAGCTGGTCGTGGAGGCCTGATCGGACGACAGCCTCTCTCCCCTGGCTGCCCAGGCCCCCACCCTGGCTCTGGACTCTCTGTTTCTCCCATGGAGCCTCTACCGAGCCAGGGACAGACTCTAAGGCACTACACCGCCTCCCGACCACGACCACGACGCACACACACGCAACCCCCCTCCTCCAGGCCTCAGGTAAGATCCCACACACCAAAACGACACTAATAAAAACAAACAGTTCTTTGATGATGATTAGAGATCTATCTATCTATCTATCTATCTATCTATCTATCTATCTATCTATCTATCTATCTATCTATCTATCTATCTATCTATCTATAGTGTGTAGGTGTTTTCCTGTGTTTTGGAGCAGTGTTCTCTGAGTGTTTAGGAGGCCCATCTGTTCTCATTCTCAGCTGTTAAAAACCTTTTTTTATTTGAATTATTCATGTTTTCACATCACCAGAAGCCCGTATCTCTGCACTGCCCAACAAGCCGTGTCCAAACAACCGTCCAGATCTGTAGTTTATTTCTCTTAAGTATGTCCAGCAGGAGGGTTTGGGTGATGGATGATCTAAAGCAGCCTTTTCTTTGCTCCCATTTTGGGATATGGGGGCCATGGTTAGGGCATCCAGTCTGCAGAACGACCTTCCCATCTGACTCAAAAGAAAAACTCTTGGTCAGGTTATTTAAACAGGATGCCCACCTTGCAGAGCAGCAGTGTGTTAATGGGCTAATCATGCTAATTAACGGCACATCTCCCAGGGCGTCAGCCTGGCGTCCCTCGGAGATTTTTAACTCTGCACACTTTTAAAGAAAGTCCAGTTACTACTTTTCACCGAGGCGGGGACTCGTGTCTAATGAGTCGGACTCGAGTTCTTTATTTTATGACTTTAGACTTGACTTGAAAAGAATTACAGAGAATTGACTCAGACTTTGACACCAATGACTCGAGACTTGAATGGGACTCGTACCTGTTTAAAAAGACTTTATATTTTACTGGAAAGGTAAAGTTTATTACAGCTGGAACAAAAAACAAGCTGACTGTATCTCCTTGTTTTATTCACTCTTTATGTCTCAATGCATGAGCTGAAATATGGCCGATCAAATCTACAATTAAAAAGATAAAGTGTAATTTATTTCAGATACACAAACTTCAAAGTACTCAATAAAAACAAAATAGATTTTATAATTATGCAAGAAGAGAATCACAAACAGAGACAGAACAATCTCCTAATTTTAAAACTCTTATATCCTGATGTTTTTTAACCTCTCATATAACCTCTTCCTATTGCCAAATATATTTAAAGAATAAAAAAATATGATACAATAAATTTCCTTTACCTCTATAATTGGCAAGGAACTATAGTTGTTTTCTTCTAGACTTGCAGAAAAACGCTGCTGGAGTCCAACATGCTCTGGTAACATATCTGACCTGATGCCGCTGTTCCGTCAGACCATCATACCCCGTCAGACCATCATACCCCGTCAGACCAGCATACCTATAGCCAATACGCATGCACAAGATGTCAGATTTGCATTTATCCCTTTAGTTTTCAACGATAAATAGACTTTAAACTACCTCAACGGGCTTGTATCCCTTTAGTCATGTACAGAAAAACAATTTAAGGTCAGATCGCCATACACTACAAAAGACACTGAAAAGCAAGTAATTAAATAGTTTTTTTGTACATGACTAAAGGGATAAACACCCATTTAGGGAGGTTAAAGTGTATTTTTCTTACTAAACTAAAGTTATAAAGTAAGGGGACAAACGAGTATTGAGTCTGGGTATGCTGGTCTGACAGAACACCAGTAATGCGGAATAAAATACTGCTCCACTCGTAGTAAAGGGCTCCCAGCTCTGTACTCCTGGTGAGGCCCTCACAAGGGACACGGCTGAAAACCTTCTCCATGCCCACTAATCACATTGGGACTGGTTGGACAAAGTCCACTGAAGCCTTGAGCTTGCAGCTGAGGGTGTGGAGCTGGTCCACTGATCTACGGCCAGGACAAAACCCCTGTGCTCCTCTTAAACTGAGTCTGGTAGTCAATCTCACACCAAGCATGCATTCAGCCACAGTGGAGAGGAAACTAACTTTTAACAGGAACAAAACTTCACCAGAAAGAAAACCATACATAGCGAGAGCAGCCTTTAGTAGAGGCTGACAGGGGGTACCCTTAAAAAAGGTTACAGTAAACTAACTCCATAGTTCATAGCTCTAGGAAAGATATGGTTAAGCAGATGAGCTCTGAGCTAGTTTTTATATCCAAAGGGATAAAAGATCTCATCCTGGTGGTGACGGTAAGAGTTGAGGCCATAGCAAAGTCTAGGAAAGAAACAAAACGTCCGAAAAACAGGCCCAACATAAAATATAACTGAAGTTGATGATGGCAGCAGCCCAGCCAATAATTTGATCCAGGAGGGTTTCACAGCAAAACAGAAACAGGAACAGACGAAGCTACTATGACAAGAAAGAGCAAAGAGAACAATAAGTTTAACTAACAGATTCTGCAGAGTGGGAGAATAGAGATAGAATGAAGCAGAATGATGAAAAAGGGTCCCTATGTCCTCCAGCAGTCTAAGCCTATAGCAGCATAACTATAGAGATAGCTCAGGATAACCTGAGCCACTCTAACTATAAGCTTTATCAAAAAGGAAAGTTTTAAGCCTAGCCTTAAAAGTAGACAGGGTGTCTGCCTCACAGACTAAAACTGGTAGTTGGTTCCACAGGAGAGGAGCCTGATAACTAAAAGATCTGCCTCCCATTCTACTTTTAGAAATTCTAGGAACCACTAGTAAACCTGCAGATTGAGAGCAAAAGTGCTCTGTTAGGAACATAAGGAACAATCAGATCTCTGATATCAGATGGAGCTTGGTTATTTAGACTTAGACAACTTTTATTGCCTTTTTTTGTGTGCACAGAGTGTATACAGAGCAAAATTCTGTTTTGTTCAGCTTGCAGACAGTGAATGAGCAGCAGCTTAGCAGTAAAATTTATATTTGAATTTCATTAAGGGCAGCAGTGATCAATAACATGGTGCAAAAATGCATTTATATGGAAGCAATTTAAGGCTTTAAATGTGAGAAGGAGGATTTAAAATTCCACCATAAATTCTAAATCATGTGTTTTTCTTTCACTTTAGATAAAATAGTCTAATATTTGTGACTAAACAGACATCTTGGCTGAGATAGTATGAGTGTTATGTTTAGGTCTAACGCACACAGTGTTCAGCACAATAATAGCTTTTGCAAGTATTTAAACCTGAGACTGGAAAAAGATTGGTTTTGATATCATTCCAAGGACTGAGATAAACTTATGTAACAATTTCAACACAACAGGAAAAGAAAAGCTGTAAACCTCTTATCTATTGTCAGTAGAAATGATATTTGGATATGGGGACAGTCTTTTTTTTGTCTTTTGTTTGTTTTTTCATAATGAAAATCCTGTCAACCACATTGAAATGCATCAAAACTACAGCTTCTCATGTCGGTCCATTTATTTAGAATAAAAAATCATCTTGTGTGGAAAGTCTCTGCAGCCTAATATCAGACAGGTCTCTTGAATCTCTTTGTTTAGATAAGTCTTTTTTATAGGTTGATTATTAATTCTTTATTCTATTTGTTTTTTTTCATTTTAAAGTTTTTTTTATCTTATAATGAAATTTAATGCACTGTGCTATAGAAATAAATGTACAGTAGTTCTTATTATCTTCTTTTTATTATCTCAAACCAGAGTAACAGTGAAGGGGTTTCTCTTTAGAAAACTTTATCAGTCAGTGATGTCACATGCATGCGCCTTGACTGTCTGAGGAGTTAGTAATAAATAATAACAATAATAAATAATGAAAAAATAAATAATAATAAATTCCCAGAAGCAGCATGTTTTTCGGTTTTTGACTATCCTGCCTCCTCCACTCCCATTTTAACCAGTCTGACCTTCCCTCTCTGCCATTACCGGCTCCTGCTCTTTGTTTTAAATATCATTAAGATCCAACTTGTTCTACTCTCTGACAAACAGAGCCAGGCTTCCTCCCAATAAAGGTGAATCCGTCTTTCATCTCAGCAGAATGACGTCCTGCTGCAGTTCATGATGATATTTTAAGATTTTTGGGAACTTCTTTCTCCATCCTCTGGTCTTCTCTATTCGGAAACCTGCTTCTCTTCTGTACTAATAGACTTTTATCTCCAAAGATTCGCTATAAGAGTCAGGTACTCCTAACTAAAAGTCAAACTCACCCAGAACGCCGAGAAATGACGAGACACTCCAGAGCAGGGGCAGATTTAGGCAATCTGGAGCCCCCAGGCAAAGACAGGCAGGGGCCCCTCTGAATTGAGAAGACAGCACATAAAACAGCCCCATTCTACAGATAGAGAAATGTTAATAGAATAGACATCCATTATCTGTTCTAGGTTTTGTCCCTCTCTTCTTGTCCCTTTTCTTCTTGTTTTCCTCTCAATGTTTTGTACTCAGCTGACTTTTCATGCTGTCTCTAAAGGAATGAAATATTTTTTCCAAGCACTAAGCTCACTTAGCTGATTGCTCCTTCCTGTGTTTCCAAAAAGGCCAAAGTAAATAACCCAGTTCTTCTTTTCACTGTAGACAAGCCATGATCTGCTTCTCTGTTCTCCATTTTTCATTTTGATGAAATAATAGCTGCATGAATCATGACAGCAGACAAGATAGAGGAGAGCAGGAGGCGGGGTTACCAATCTACTCGCTCTGGAGAGCAGAGCTCGCTGCTTTTAGATGTTGCCTCCAAAGTCTCCAGTAGCAGAAAAAAGTCACTAGATTTAGGGCTAGGAGCTTTTTAGAAATCAAAGTGCTAGAGGGGTCTGAAAAGTGGCTAAATATAGCGACTAAAGCGCTAAGTTGGCAACACTGCTCTTTGCATGGTTTGTTTTCAAATGGTTTGCTGCTGTCTGTTTGGACCTTTCTGAACATGTGCAGCAAATGGACTGATCCAATATGGTGGACACTGAAGGGGGGACTGAGACACACTTAAAATTATCAGCGTTCTGATGGCATTTTAGCCAAATGATTTTTATCAAAAACATAATTAATGTGACAAATAAGGAATAGTTGTATTAACCATACATGGAAACGGAGTTTTATGCGGCCCCCAGGAACTTGGGGCCCTAGGCAGCTGCCTAGTATTGCCTAATGGTAAATCCCCCCCTGCTCCTGAGACAGTCCCCTGATGAGTCTTTGATGTCGGCCATTTTAAATGTGGAGGAGTTCCAGTTTGTTCCTTGATTCTTCCTGCTCTTGTATTTATATTATTTGCTTTTCTAATTATTGTTTCACTTGATGTTAAAATTTTCCTGTTTGAATAGAGACGTTTGGTGGAGTTGATTCTGTGAGAGAGAAAGAAATGAAGCAAAGCAGCAAAGTGAGACAGAAGCATGTTGGCATGAAGCGCGGAGGGACAGGTGGCTGTTAGTCAGGAGGCATTCAGTAACACAAAACAACTCCTGTTTCTTTGGATAGTGGGGAAAAATAAAAATGCTGCACAATCCTAGAATACTGATGAGGTGAACCTGAACCGTTGGTGTGAGCATTTGGACACTGGCGTTAGTCCTGATCACTGGTTTTAGTTTGGTGCTGATGGTGGAGCATCAGAGCGTAGAGTAAAACACCCACAGTGAGGCGCAGGTGTTACTCCTGGCTTTTTACCAGAGAGAAACAGCATGTGTCACACTGCAAAAATGATCTAAAAATAAGTGTATTTACCTTAAATTTTAGCAGGTAAATAAGATGATGGAATGAGAATTGTTACTGTTAAAGTCTTAGGGAAGTCATATTTCAATGTCAAATCATTCTGGCTTAAACATGTATATAAATGTACTCTTTATCAGACCGTATTGTCTCAAAATTTAAAATCTGTTTTTTTTTTTCTGTTATCTTCTGCAGGCCAGTTAGTTATACGTCAGCCTGAACACCTAAATTCGGCCAATCATATATCAATGATCATCTGTCAATCAAATGTTTTCGGTCATAGCATCTTGATTCATATGTCGCAGCTAATATACACAACGGTTAAAATCAGAAATCCAAATCATTTCCTTTCCCATAGAGTTCCGTCCCAGTGTTCACGGGGATGGACGTCGGTGTCTTCAGCAGGCGTAGAGCTAACAGAACTGGCAGCGTTGCGAGGCAAGGGCTCAAACATGTACGGCTGGAAGCCTTCTACACCAAACCAAGCTCCACAACATCTTCGTCCCCGCTTTCCTCCTCTAAATAAAAAATGAATGACTGAGGAGACTCATCCACGACCTCCGACATTAAACTCTCCTCCTCTTGCATGTTTCCTCTGTTCATAGCGTTCCTTGACAGTGTCGTTTCTAAGTCACCAATTTAGTGCTACTTGGTCCCAATGGAATTTCCCATTGGGAACCTACTAGCACTAAGATGCTAACTGGTTAGCAAGATGCTTCCGACAAACCGGCCACAACCAAACTTGCTGGTGAACCTTCACCCACAACAATCCCGCCCCTTTAATAATCGACCAATCACATTCACTTTATTCACTCGTGTAAAGTCGGGCCCCACTCGGGAGAATTAGGGAATGCAACAGTTGGAACAGCCACTTTCCTGCAGTGGAAAAAAACTCGAAATCTAGATAAGTAATTTTTTTCTTGAAAAATAAATGCATTTGTTGTTGGATCGAGGAGGTAAAAGAGACATTTTGCCTATGGATCAAGACAATTTACACTTAAAATAAGAAAACACAATTGCATTGTCTTATTTCAAGTGCATATTATCGAATTATCTTATTTTAAGAGTAAAAATCCTCATTCCATTGGCAAACTATCTAATTTACCTACTTAAATTAAGGGTAAATACACTTAATTTAAGAAATTTTTACTTATTTCTATATCGTTTTTCCAGTGTATCCAATTAATCTGGTTTCTCCTTTTAAAATGGGAAACCAACCTTCTGGTATCATTTCAGGTCACTTTCCAGTTCACCAGATCATCCAGTCAGATTGATTCAAAATTTTCTATCTAAGGAAAACCAGCTGATTGCATCGACTTATTGACTCTTCAGCAATCCCTCACACCAAGCATGCTTGCAGCGACAGTGGAGAGGAAAAACTCCCTTTCATTCAGTTGTTTAATGTTGTAGAAAAAAAGCAGATCACAGACATTTTTTGCTTGGTCTAAAAATGTTAACATTACTGACTACCACATTTTTGTTTATTTCTTATAGTGTTTCTTAAAGCCCGACAGCGGCATTTAAAATGACTTTACTTTTGTGTCATCTCTGTGATCTGCTTATTGACTGAACATCCTCTGTTGCCGCTGATTTCATCATTTTTGCGAGAGGTTGTACACTGAGATAATTGCTCAGAAATGCTAAAATGTTGTTTGTTTGCCTCAACCTATTCAACACAACCCACCAATCTGACACTGTGACTGAGGCTACTTCCTCTGACAGTCATGCATGATCATAAGCCAGTCGGCTACTATGATAAAAATAATTGAACCTGCAGTTTTTCCTCCCTGTTTATTGGACTCTGTTCTTTACAGGAACCAGTGTCTGAGGACAAGAAAGACGGAAATGAGGCGATGGACAGAGTGGATGAAGGAGTAGAGGAGTTCTTCACCAAGAAAATCCTCCCTGACTATGCACTGTAAGTCCCACTGCAAACTAAAGAACAGGGTAAAGCAACAACACCAAAAATAAATGTGGAAACACAAAAAACGTGACATTAAATAGTTTTACAGGAGCTCCTCTGATAAAAAAAAAATTATCCACAGCCAAAAAAATCATGTTTCTACTGACTGTCTGTCCTTGTTTTCATCATCCAGCTTCACATCGGCTGAAACCTTTTGTTGAACTCCCCAAACTTTCACTACTTTTCACCCTAATTTTCACATTTTGTTTCGCTCAAACAAACTTTTCCATTGATTTCACTGCAAAAACAATCTAGAAATAAGTAAAAAAAATTCTTAACCTAAGTGTATTTATCCCTGAAAAATCTTAGACAGGTAAAGAAAGTCTGCTTCTTTTTCTAGCATATTCCATTGTTGATATTTAATATCAGTTTAAACAATTATAAAATGGATAAAAACCAGAATGAACAGAATGAAACCCACAGTTAGATTGAAAGAGATAGTAGCAGTTTGCTTATTGTATACAATTCAAAGATAAACTCCTAAAACAGGGGTCAACAATCTGCGGTTCCGGAGCCGCATGCTGCTCTTTAGTGCCCCTTTGTGGCTCCCTGGATCTTTTTCAAAAATGTATGAAAATATGTAATACATGTTTTACACAACTGTAAACATTTTTTATAATAAATTTAAACAATAAATGTAAATATTTCTTTCAACAAAAATTGGCGTCATAGCCTGGGACACACGTTTCAGTGCAGCGCGGCGCCAGGCAGGTGGCTGCTGTAAACAAAGCGGTGGGTGTGTCTCAGGCCGTTGATCCCAGAGGGAAAAAAAGGAAGATAGCTGATGAAAAAGAGGATTCAAAGAATGGAGCGAATAATTTGCTTTCATTACCAATTAGGAAGGAATGCCTGAATATTTGCTTTGTAATGAGAGTTTGTCAAATAATAAAAAGAGTCATTAGAAAAGGCTTTTCCAGGGAAGGCTAAATATGCAGCCGACCACCAAGCTGGGAGGGAGAGAAAAAGAGCGATTAAAGAACTTCTGGATAAATTAGAGGAGAGCAAATATAGATTTAAGAAGTAGATTGCATCTCCAAAATCCACTACCGCTGCTAGTTTGGTTTCAAGCATAGAAAACTGTTCATAGATCCAACAGGAAGCGCTCTGATGCAGGGATGAAAACTTTCTTCATTTTTTTCCCCAACACCAAGGAACGCTGGTGACGGAGGATGTAGAGAGCTCTGCTCTGATGGATGTCAGTTCCTGCTTGGTTCCTCATGACTCCATCAGCTCCTCCCATCAGAAACACGTCCAACATAGAAAGATTCCTTTATCCTGTGTTTATCATTTCATCAATGCAAAACAAAACCATGCGGTGAAGCGGCGAGCGGTGAGAGCGTTCACTGCTCCTCCATCACCTCATGATGTGACATTTGCTCCAGGATAAACATTTCATCATAAATACTTATTACAGATGTTTTTATATTGGCCAAATATTAGCGCCCGTGTTGCCATTCAAGGCTGATAGAAGACTTTTACAGTTTTGCGGCTCCAGACAGATTTGTTTTTTGGGTTTTTTGGTCCAGTATGGCCAGTATGGCCCCCGTCCTAAAAAGCCTCAAAGAATTTGAAATCAACCAAAGCAATTCTCCCAAAACAGTCTGCAAACATTAATGCTCACCAAGCTCCCAAGATCTGATCATCCTATGAAGTCACACTTAAAGAAACCTCCAAATCATCTAAATGTCTGAATGGAACCAACAGCAGGCCTCCCTGGATATGAGAGCGAATATCTGCAGAATCAGAAGGAAACCCACAGGCAGGGACTATGGATGATGAGCAGGGAGAAAGGCAAACAAGACGGCCAGGCAGAACACTGCAAAAAATATAAATCTAAGTTAATTCTTCTGAAAATAAGTGCATTTATTCTTGAATTAAGAAGGTAAGAGACACTTTGCCAATGGAACAAGACAATGTATATTTAAAATAAGAAAAAGCAATTGCATTGTCTTATTTCAAGTGCATATTATCTCATTTTAATTAGCAGATCACCTGAGTTTCCTACTCAACTTAAGAGTAAATCAACTTATTAAAAAAAAATGTTTTCTCATTTTCAGAAAGTTTTTGCAGTGAATTTTTTCAGACAAAGCTGAGATTTTTGGAATACGGTTCTTTGAACATATTCCAGTCAAAATCACAGTCAGTGGGATTCCAGAATAGGGGCTCTGTTCAGATTTATTTATTTATTTATTTATGAAATAAAGGATTTCCAGAAAAAAAAACTTCGCACATAGAGGCTCATCGCTCAGGGAGCTGACTGTCAAAGTAACCACCATCGCTTTCAGATGGTGAATGAATCAGGTGGTGGTTATATTCACACCAAAAAACATTTTTGTAATTATCCTTTTTTCAATGAAAAAAACAGTTTATTTTGTCTTTTGATTGAACATTACAGGCTTTAACTGCAATTTATTGCTGCCTTTCAGTTTTAATTCTACATCTCAGCTGTTTGTAAATGCTTTTATTGTATAACTTGAAACTTTGCATGGTTGCATGGTTGTTTTAAACAAAGGGAGGTTTGTTCTGCCTGTTTATAGGGTTTATTTATTACTGCCACTGTGCCTATCACTGCATCCTCCCTCCAACACATTGCCCATCTATGTTCAGGTGCTTCCCAGAGGCTGTAGTACTGTCCTGAGTTTTATTTCAGAGCTGCCTTCCTGGCAAACCTGTTTGGTTGTGGCATTCTGTGTTCTGCAAACGTTGTTGCTTTATTTTCTTTTGTAGATTAGTAGTTTTCTTACAAATAGCTTTATTAGCCTCTTGGGATAAGTTTTTGCTCAGATTAAAACTATTTGGCACCAGGACTGTCTCTTCTGGAAGGTGGGATGTAGAAAGGTGATGCTCCTGCTGAGCACCAGGTGGGTGTGAGTCCATAGACTTAGTAAGGCCAAAAATTTAACAAAGGGCAGCAAAGAAGGAGCTTCTTTACAAGAAAAACGTCAAGGCTCTACTAAGCTTATTTCTGTAGCTCCAATTCACATCATATCATCTCAGGTGAATTACAGAGACAATTCAACCAGATCATCCAGTCAGATTGATTCAAAGTTTATATCCATAGAAAACCAGCTGATTGCATCGACTTATTGACTCTTCAGCAATCCCTCTCACCAAGCATGCTTGTAGCGACAGTGGAGAGGAAAAACTCCCTTTGAACAGGAAGAAACCTCCAGCAGAACCAGGCTCAGTGTGAGCGGCCATCTGCTGAGGCCCACTGAGGTTCAAGGAGACAGAAGCAGACATAGAAAAAGAAGCATAGATACAAAAGGCAACAGTCAACCAGCTCCACAGGCGGCCCAGTCCAGGAAACACACAGCCAGGCAGACGAGCTCCGAGCCAGCTCCCATGTCAGAGGATAAAGAGAGCACATCCAGTTAGTCACAGTCAGAGAAACAGGACTACACTGAAAAAATAGGCCAAGCTCCAACATCTAGAAACAAAGGTGTTGATGGCATCAGCACAGCTGATATTTCTCTCCAGGATGGAGTCACAGCCAAACAGGAACAGACCAGATGAAGCTGCTATGAGAAAAAGCAGAGAGAGCAGAACGTTAGAGATTGAACTAAGATTCTGCAGAGTGGGAGAATAGAGACAGAATGAAGCAGAATGATGAAAAAGGGGTCCCTATGTCCTCCAGCAGTCTAAGCCTATAGGAGCTTTAACAAAGGATGAGATCAAGACCTTTGCCTTTTCTTCTGAGAATCTTTGTTTATTATCTCTGCATCACCTCAGGTCACAACATCTTTTCTAAAAGAAAATGAAGTCAGTTTTAAAAAGAAGGTAAGAAACAGAATGTCAGAATTAAGTTTAGCCCAAAGTAAAGCTTCATTAATATTTTGCATGTCAGAGAAGAATAAGAAAAATTTTCATTCTAGAAAGTTCTTTTGCAAAATAAGTGTTGCAGCTAACTCAAATCCAAGGTCCAGCGCAGATCTTAATGGGTCAGATCCAGATCTTTATTCAATCTAACATGTATCAAGAGATTTAGTTTTTAAGAGCATATGTAATAATTAACTTGGTTTCATTTCCAACTGACCCTCCATCTGAGATCACCATAGCAACACATTAGCAACATAAGGTCTAAAATGGTCTTATTAATGGCTTACCTAGGTCCTCAGTGGGACTTTTAGGTGTTCTTTTATATTTTCCCCCTGTTACACAGGATGATTGAGGTGAGCATATGACAGGAGACGGTTTGCTGAATAGTAATCCCTCCCTCTGTAGATCTAAATGTTTTCCATTGTTTTCCTGCCACCCTTTAACCCCCTGATCACTACCATCCAATCTTCTCTCAGAGGACTCTGTGATTGATTTCCATAATCACATTTGATGTTGGTTTATGCTATTGTCGCTGTGGTAAAGGCATCTATTTTCTAAGATCTCTAACTGTGGTGTCAAATCGAGCAAACGCTGATGGAAAAAGCCTAAAAATTAACTAGACACCAGGCATGGACATGCTTCTGACAGATTTAGACATCTTTACGTAATTTTGGTTAACAACAGCACCTGGAAGGACCCTGGTAAGGAAAGTAGGCTGGCTGGGGTGGGGCCGGACCCTGGCTTGGTCTGGCTTGACACCCTTTTCTAATTTATATTTTTTATATATTTATACTCAGAAACCAGGTCGTCTGCGTGTGTCGCAGTTAATGCAGATATGCCCCGCCCCTTCCGCAGACACTCTGGTGTACTTCCCCAAATTTGTAGCTGACCGCAGACAGGAGGCCTCTGATTGGTCAGATCTATATCCGCTCTACACTATGCGTATTTCCTGTTTGGTTCCTTACCGGCTTTTTTTGTTTGTATGACCGCCATTGTGGAAAATTACTGATGAAGATGTACCAGCTAGAAGAGCGAGGTGCATGAGAACTCTGGGACCCTTTTTCCTCCTGGATCCCCATTCTTTTTGGCCCTCATTACCCTCGTTGTCGGACAAACTTGCCCCCACTTCCTCACTGCCTCGGCCGTATCTAGACCCACAGCTAGTTCCTGATTGGTCCACTGGCGTTGTGGCGTGGAATAACATAGCGCAGACCACACTTCAATATTGGGCATAAATCAAAAATATCTGCGACAAGCTCACTGCGACACACTGCTGCTGGAGGATAACCAGGCCTTCACAGTTCAACTTAAGTCTTTATGTTAGGTGCAGAGGAGACATCATGCCATCACTGTGAAACAGGATTTTACTCTTTTCAAAGACAAAATGTTTACGGGATTAATTCTCCTGAATTAGCGTTTACAAAGTTGAGGTGGCCAACCAGACTGTAGAACCGAGACCCAGAATTAATTCCCAAAGGCCTGCTCGCTGGAAATTTTGAAGCAGCACTAAGCAATATTTGAGGGTCCCTCCCAGTGCTGTAGCTCCCTCTAAAGCAGCTGGAAGACACATATCATGATGAAATGTCTAAAAGGTAGTGGCTGTGGGGGATCATGAGGGGCGTATGGCTCTTGGCGGTACATGGCAGCCTAAAGAATAGAGCCGCGAGACTCAGTCAGTGGTATGAAGACAGTAGAGGGAGATGACAGACCTCTCAATTGTCTCAGCATTTAAACTACCATCACAATGACTTAGAGGAGGATACATTAAGGTAAAAATGTTACCTAGTGCTGCTTTAAGATGCATCGTTAACTCTACCACAGCTGGATTATAATGCAGCCATCCGTTCATTAGCTCTGACAAAAGCTTGAAAAACCTCCAAGATGCCGCTAGGTTTAAGTCTCCGTTCTTCAACATCATCGACACCAAAGGCTGTTTACGTCTTAATGTGGTCAAGTTTCTGTATTGTATATTCACTGAAGGGTGAAATTTTTCTTTAACCAGTCATCAGTTAGGGTCAGTCGAGCTAAAAAATCAAAGGATAGCACTCCCACCTGATTCCTTTATGGATCTCTGAACATAAACTAGTTGGAATATCGACACATTGTTATATTGTACCTATATGTAGTATGTAGTGCTTTCATTTGTGTGTACTTGCTGCGTTTATGTAGGGTTGGTTTCTTTTGAGACAGTAAATAGATTTAAAGTCTTTCCACTCGACACCACCAGCAATGACCAATGCAGTAGAGGGTGATACCGGTTCCCCAGGGGCCGCTATCCTGCAACTTTTTTCCTTGGTCCAACACACCTGATTCAAGTAATTAGATGATTAATAGAACTGCAGAAACTGAAAACACACCAAGGAGGTAATTCAGCCATTTGATTCAGGAGAGTTTGACCAAGTCTAACAACAAATTTAAAGGTTCAAGATAGCGGCCCCAAGGAACTGGATTTGGCCACCCCTGGACTAATGAGTTCAAATGGCCACCTGCTGTTTGCATCTGACCAAAGAAGTAGGACCTACTGCAAGCTTTGCCTCTACTGGGACAAAGAAATCTGGATCCCTGAGAGTTGATTTTACTTTGTCTGCCATCTGCATGAATGTTAATTTTGTGAACCTGAGTGGAGCATGTGACTTAGGTCTTGAACCAGTAGTTGTAGTACTGAGTGTCTTTCTTCTGTTGCTCTTTCTGCTGTCTCCCCACTGCAGAAAAGGTCGATGGGAGGAGTCAAACTCTACCCAAGTCCCAGAATCAAGCACCACCCCTCTTCCCTCTCCATCTGATATTACTTTATCTACCACCACCATCACCTCTCCCTCTGCTACATCTACTGACACTTCCTTTCCATCCCTTGATGTTCACTCCCTTCCCTCATCCACCACCTTTCCCTCCACCACTAGTTCCACCACCTCCGCAATTCCTACAAAAAATATAAAGAAAAAGTTTGGTGATTTCTTCGTCTTCAAGAGAGCTCGAGCAGGCCGATCTGCCAAGACAGGCGGTGGGGATGGAGGACAAGGATCTGAGGTGGTCAAGGTCAAAAGGTCCTCCATCGCAGATCTCATTCGACCCCTTCGGGAGACCAAAGACAGGGACAGAGATAGGGAAAGGGAGAAGGAGAGGTGGAAGGTGTCAGAGGAGGATGCTAACATTTGTAATGATGCCACTACTACAGAAGGAACTGTCGCCCCCGGCTGCCATCTTGCCGACGTTGTGAGGGAAACAGTACCCCCGGCTGAATCATTAAGCACAACACAATCGAGCGGGACGACTCCCCCCTACCCCACCGTCGCAACAAGCCCTGGACTCACCACAGCTGTGGTAGCTGAACTGGAAGAAGCAGCAGCTCCTGTACCACCACCACGCCTCAGCCCAACTCCTGCCATCTTTACAACACCGGCGGTGCCAGAGAGGCAACCAGGGGATCCGTCATGTGGGGAAAGGAGACTGAGGGTGACCAAAAGACTGAGAGAAAATAAGAGCCAGAGTCTCATCCTGCTGACAGGGATAGAAGCGGAGGACAAAGATAATACACCCAATAAGGTCAGTCTGACAAGAAAACACAGACACCAATGTCATGTATGTTATGTAGCTTAAAAAGATTATTTACATTTACAAAAAACTCCAAACATTGGTAAAAGAAAAGGTTAAGTTGTAAAAATGGGGTTTGATTGTATGCTAACATTATGGAAGGTTTTTAATCAAACTATGTGTTATTTTTCCCAACCATATAGCTTTATGTGTGCCTGTAAGTGTTTGTGTATTCTGAAAACTTCATGTATCCTCACAAATGGAAATGTTTGGTTTAAGGCTAGTTGGCTAAAATGTTTAGACAGTCTCACCAAAGCCTCTTTCCCGCTGAAAATAGCAGGTTAACGTGTGTTTTCCGAACATGGGTCGACCCACTAACAACCGGCATCTGGCTCCCTTCCCACTGGCAATAGAAGCTGGTCTATCCACTCATGTGACACTGTCATACTGGGTTAGCCTTGATGATGTCACCATTGCAACAAATCAGGAAAGTAAACAATGGAGAGCAACATGGAAGGAAGCCAGGGCGTAGTCGCTGTGCTTTATTGGTTGTATTATCTGTCTGAATCCCTCTCACAAGAGCTGCTCCCTGTTTATCGAATATAAACAGAGTTGTTTCTGCTTCTTAGATCAGTAGCGACTGGCGCGGTGTGTTGACGTCCGTACGTTACGGTCAATGGTATATCATAATTTAGCTCTGGTGTTCCCACAGCATGCCGATCAGAGCTGAGGCGCAAACAACTCGCCGTTTTGCTGAGTCATTTGACCCTGGTAGACAAGCATCAGTGAGCTGTTCCCTCTGCCACTAAAGCCGATTGTTCCTGGGTTTAAACTGGTTTTTAGGCCAGTGGGAAAGGGGTACAATTTTGAATATGTTTCATGTAAATTCACTAGTAAAGCTTAGTTTTATCTATCATGTCCCAAAGGGTAGGTTGCTACATAAAATTCATACTTTTGTTTAGTTTTTTTTATGTTGTACAACAATGCAAAGGTTATTGGGAAGTGTTTCTTTTAGATGAAAGAAATATGTTAGATCAATGGTTAATAAAAAATGTCAGTATATTCATTTAAAAGCTGGCTTGGCAGCAAACACTTTTTCTTTTTTAATGCTACCAAGTTAGGTGTAGAAACATTCAACTTTTGATTTAATTTTAAGAAGAAACACAGCTATAATTCAACCTTTTATCTGTCTTTTAAACCACTTACTAGTTGAACTTTCCTTGTATGCCTAGAAACATCCATTATTCAGTAAATCCATCCATCTTCTCCCGCTAACTCCATTAGGGTCTCGCTGGGGCCGTTGCCCATCATTATTAAGATATACTTTAATAGAAATATTGGTTGAGCTGGTTTAAGTGTCCGTTGATCAGGTCCCTGAGGCATCTGACTGCGACCCAATCCCTCATGGTTCGCCCTGCACATGGCGGGCCCACTCGGGGAGTTACCTCTTGTCACTGGTTTGTCCTCCGGCTGGCTTACCTGTGAGGGGAACCAGAAACCCCGGGACCTCATCATTGACCACCAGCATTTATGGATTTGTAAAAAATTTCTAGGTGCAGCCATGGGCAGGATGTCTGGTTTGGGGACAGGCAGATATCGTCAATGCTTTTTGTAGATGTGGTTCACATGGCCCCCCCTGCCAAGACCTACCACATGTGTTGGGTCTGTGAGTGCAAAGAAGCAAAAAAAAGCAAGTGCTGTATATTTTCAAGAGAAGACATAGATCATTTATTTATTTTGGTATCCATGTTTTTTGGGGTTTGAGTCAGTCCCGGTCTTCCACAGTGACTGCCCCAACTAAAGGTGCAAAAGCAAAACCACAGCTCCATCTGCCAGAGTGGAGGTTCAGAGGTGGCCCATCTTCCCCTCATCCTTTTAGGTAAATTGTTTAGTTTAAACAAAATAAAATAAAAAATAGATATTAGGAACTTAAAAATAATAAAATGGATATAAAATCGGACACCCAAAAATCACGATTTATCTGCAAATTAATCTTTTCCCCACACCCCTAGTAATTTAAATGTTGTTCCTGTTCTTAATCATAGAGACAGTTCAGCTGTAAAATGCAGGTTTGTTATGCTTTACATGTGATGGTTGAGAGCATTGACACTATTAAGACCTCTGTGCTCCCTGTTTTTCAGAAACATGCATCTGAGAGCACGCCTGGCTTTGAACAGAGGCTTCAGGTGATGCTGCACAGAATGGGAGTGACCAAAACTCCACCTGCTGATACCAAGATGTGCCAGGTAAACAGGACAGGGGTGTGTTAGGCTACGGTCACACTGCAGGCCTTAATGCTCAATTCCGATTTTTTTGTGAAATCCAATTTTTTTTTTCCGTTACTGTTCAAATTTCCAAATGTATGTGCGATCTCCTGTGTGAACTGCTCTCGGACTGTTTGAGTGTCCTGCATGCGCAGTAGCTGAAGCAAAAACATCACAAGCCAGTGTGCTCTGTGATTACGAAAGTAAACATGGATGGTACTGATGGAGCTCATCTAGCGATCATTTCCAACCTTAAAAACACAATCTGCTCATTTCAATCCAGTTTATTTTTGTAGCTCCAATTCTCATCATGTCATCTCAGGTCACTTTCCAGTTCACCAGATCATCCAGTCAGATTGATTCAAAATTTTCTATCTAAGGAAAACCAGCTGATTGCATCGACTCATTGACTCTTCAGTAATCCCTCACACTAAGCATGCTTGTAGTGACAGTGGAGAGGAAAAACTCCCTTTGAACAGGAAGAAACCTCCAGCAGAACCAGGCTCAGTGTGAGCGGCCATCTGCTGAGGCCCACTGGGGTTCAAGGAGACAGAAGCAGACATAGAAAAAGAAGCATATATACAAAAGGCAACTGCCAACCAGCTCCACAGGCGGCCCCGTCCAGGAAACACACAGCCAGGCAGACGAGCTCCGAGCCAGCTCCCATGTCAGAGGATGAAGAGAGCACATCCAGTTAGTCACAGTCGGAGAAACAGGACTACACTGAGAAACAGGCCAAGCTCCAACATCTAGAAACAAAGGAGTTGAGCAATATCAGCAGCACAGCTGATATTTCTCCAGTATGGAGTCACAGCTGGTTAAACATCGTATTGGATCAGGACCACAGAGCCCGGTGGCCTGGGTCGCATTGGAAAGACTTAGATCTGAGTTGTTCAAACTGTCATGAAAAGATCAGATCTAGGAACGTACTGGAGAGTTTTTTTTTCCTTTATCCACAATAATTTCAAATCATAATTTCACTGAAATAAAATGTAACTGATATAAAGGTATTTTTTCGTTTTTATGGAGAATAGCTGTTAGTTTCACACAATGCATTGAAATAAAGTCATCACCCTAATTCTGTGTGATGAGTGATAACTTTTAATCCCAATTGATAAAATTTCTGGTTCTTAATGGCTTTATACTACTTTATAATACTTAATGATTTAAGCTATTTGCACAGCAGGGGGGGGGGGGGGGGGGGGGGGATCCTTGATCAGCTCCTGGAGCTATACAGTGGAAAAGCAATGATTTGCCTAAAACTTTGTCTTAATCATTTTTAGCAGTTATCATATATATACAATAGTTGCAGTGTTAAAATTTTGTATGTTAATGTTTTTTTATGGTGTTTTTTACAGAATAAAGATGAGGAACTGAGAAAAGCCACCTCTGAAGGTAAGTTTGAGCATCTCTACAACCCTTTAAAACTCACTATGGACTATAAATCAGCAGCTTCTTTCATCTCTGTGAAAATGCTCAACTTGTTCAAGGTTCTCTGTATTTATATTAATCTCAATGCACTTTCCAGAGACAAATTAATCAGATCTTCAAATCATTGTCAGATTGGTTTAAAGTTTTCTATCTAAGGAAACCAGCTGATTGCCTCCAGTCATTGACTTTGCAGGATTCTTTTCTCCTGAATGAGCAGGTAGAGACAGTAGGTTGACTCTACAGCAGCCTCAGTGGAGAGGAGAGACTCCCTTTAAACAGGAAAAAACCTCCAATAGAAACACAACCAGTTGCATTGGGAGCAGCCTTCACCTAAGGCCCACTGGGGAAGCTTTGTAGGTTATAATGGGTAACGGTGCAATAGCTCCTCCGGTGGTTCTGCTCAGGAAATAAACAGTTAAGCAAACAAGCTCTGAGCCAGTTTTCATGTCAATAGGGATGAAAGAGAGCACATAAAGGTAGGGATTGAACTAACATGAAGAGAATGATGAAAAGGGGTCCCTATGTCCTCCAGCAGTCTAAGCCTATATCAGCATAACTATAGAGATAGCTCAGGATAACCTGAGCCACTCTAACTATAAGCTTTATCAAAAAGGAAAGTTTTAAGCCTAGCCTTAAAAGTAGACAGGGCGTCTGCCTCACGTACTAAAACTGGTAGTTGGTTCCACAGGAGAGGAGCCTGATAACTAAAAGATCTGCCTCACATTCTACTTTTAGAAATTCTAGGAACCACTAGTAAACCTGCAGATTGAGAGCGAAGTGCTCTGTTAGGAACATAAGGAACAATCAGATCTCTGATATCAGATGGAGCTTGGCCATTTAAGGCTTTATATGTGAGAATGAGGATTTTAAATTCTATTCTGGATTTAACAGGAAGCCAATGAAGAGAAGCCAGGATGGGAGAGATATGATCATCGCATTTGCATTTCTTCTATGGGCTCTTTGGAGATAAAAACATTTGGCCTCACCCACCTCCATGACCCAGTCCCTCTCTTCCCCTGTCAAGTGCTTGTAATGTTGTCTAATGGCTCTTTGAGGCTTTTTATGTTTGTCTGCACTGATCGAAGCTCACTGCTATGTCTAAAAGCCAAATGCTCTTAATAACAATATCTATTCATCTTGTAATGATGCCTCTGCACTCTGGTGCCGGCTCCTAACAAGCAAACCAGATCACTTCCACTGCCAAGGCCTTTCACCTCTCTCCAAAGCTGTCTGTATTCAGTCAGGTATTAATACCACAATATTAGGAATGTGGTGATCATAGAGCTGAGCTCAACTATTCAAACCACTAGCAGTTCTATTTCCTGATGGGAAATTATACCAAAGTGATGTTAGAGGGGCAACAATTTAGCAACAAATAATTAATGAAATATTGTTAAACTAAAAGCCGTTCATCACCTTCTCATTAATCGAGAAAAAAACTTGGACATCACAGCAGTTAAACTTTTCTGTGAGCCTTTGTTTACACATTTCAGGTCATATTTTGACTGACCCTCCTTGGGGATTAGCTCCAACATCCCAGGTTGGACCTCTTTACCATCACCCTAAACTTTACCTCTATCCAATGATTCTCTGGGGTTTAATTTTGGTTGGACATTAACATGACCTCCAGGCTGTTACAACTGAAAATCCAGTTTAGAGAAAAGCTTTAGTTCTGGTAAATAATCTTTAGTTTCATCAGACCAAATCTAAATAAATGGGCCCCACCATGAGGAAGACGAAGCGCCGAGCCATGAGGCTCAGTACTGCCCCTAGTGGTACCCCTTACCTCTGTCCATTTTCACTGAGAGCTCATTGCGGATAAGAAAAACAAGAAGACAAGTCACAGCTTATAGGGCATTGGGGTGTTTTAATATAAAACCCATAAGAAATCTGCCAAATAGCTGAACATGTCATTGTTGATAAAAACACCATCAGAGGAGAGGCACAGCTATCAACCGTCTCAACTTTTTGCTCGCTGGCTCGGAGCTCATCTGCCTGGCTGTGTGTTTCCTGGACAGGGCCGCCTGTGGAGCTGGTTGACAGTTGCCTTTTGTATCTATGCTTCTTTTTCTATGTCTGCTTCTGTCTCCTTGAACCCCAGTGGGCCTCAGCAGATGGCCGCTCACACTGAGCCTGGTTCTGCTGGAGGTTTCTTCCTGTTCAAAGGGAGTTTTTCCTCTCAACTGTCGCTACAAGCATGCTTAGTGTGAGGGATTGCTGAAGAGTCAATGAGTCGACGCAATCAGCTGGTTTTCCTTAGATAGAAAACGTTGAATCAATCTGACTGGATGATCTGGTGAACTGGAAAGTGACCTGAGATGACATGATGTGAATTGGAGCTATAGAAATAAACTGAATAGAATTTATCTGAGATAGCAACAATTAAAATCAAGATTCTAAGAATATCTCAAAGGAATACGGCAAATACATTTAAAGAAGAGGAATTTTGTCCCTCATGAATGTCAGGTTTTGACTTTGATGATGAGTGGTGAGGTCCCGCTTCACTCGTCTCATCAGAGCCTTTCAAAGCTATCAATGTTTATAGGTTTAATATGATGCATTCTGCTGTGCCGCTTCCTTTAAACTAGAAAAAATCTGCAGTCTAATAGACATTTATAGAAAACCTGGTTTCAACATTACGGGGCGTCGGTTGCAGGAGTTGACTGAATGTGCCACTTTGGAGTCCCCTGGCTGAAAACTGCAGGCCCGTTAGCGATTGGATGGACCTGATCGGCTCAGTTCCCGTTAGGTTCTACAGATCTGAAAGCAGTTCTAACCTCTGCGCACTGTAATGCAGTCTCACTCGGAGGGATGTGCTATTAGGGCCACATAACCAGCATCGTTGCTAAGTGCTCTTTCCTTTGAACACTTCTATAAGAAGCTTTTCCCTCTTGCCAGCTTAACCACAAAGTTCTCGTTTTGATCTACCCGTATGTTGCATTAAATCCCAATAATATTTCCACACACATCTCACCTCTCCATCTCCTGATTCCTTTTTTGTAGACTGTCATTCTTTTAGAGCATCTAATAATTCATTCCACTCCATCAGTCGGTGTTCGGGCAGATGAGTGGAAATTAAAAACATGTGCATGATGTGCAGAATGTCAACAAGGGGGTGAGGTTGCTTGAGGACCCAAATTCAAAGATGAGTGAAGCAGAGAGGAGTTCTTGTTTATTTAATAAGAAAACTAATGTCCAAAAATGCAAAATACAAAGAACTGAAAAAGAAGAAAGCATCAGGAAAAACTCACATGGGGAGCCAGAGATGAGAAAGCAACTAACAATCAACGAGGAACCAGCACTGAGTGACTGCAGAGGTGTTGTGTCGATAAAGGGAACAGAACAAAGGATGGACTAATTAGGTGAATATGGAGCAGGTTTGGATAGAACTAACTAGAAGGAAGCCAAGGGAAAGGAAACAAACACAAGAGGGCGACAGAGAGCAACTAAAGACTGAATGTAATGGAAAATAAACCAAAGATCAACAACACTGATAAATGAGAACTAAAAACTCAAAGTGCCATAAGTGGAGAACCGTGACACACAAGTGAAGTTTTTTATTTCTTGTATCGAGGTTTCTGTACTGAAAAAACAATATATAAATAAGTAAAAAGGTCTTAAATTAAGTGTATTTACCCTTAATTTGAGCCGTTTAATAAGAAGATTTTCCAATGGAATGAGTATTTTTACTCTTAAAATAAATAGTTAGATAATATTAATTTGAAATAAGACAATGCAATTGTTTTTTTCTTATTTTAAATGTAAATTGTCTCGTTCCATTGGGAAAGTGTCTCACTTACCTCCTCAATTCAAGAAAAAATGCACTTATTTTAAGAAGAAACTACTTTTTAAATTTTCATTTTTGCAGTGTTGAGCTGTGGCAGCTGCAGATTGAGATGAAAGGTGTCATTTCTGAGCATCATATCTGGGGTTAGCTTATATCGTCTTCTGTTTCCATCCCTAAGGTGCTATCCTGAACAAACCTGAACTACCTCCCAAAGACATCAAGTCCCGAACGATGTCAACCTCATCAGGTAGGATGCAGTTTGTTTCCGGTTTGCAGAAACAAACCAAACTAACCCAGATTTACACTTTATTCTTTCTTCCTCTTATTTTTCTCCTTGGTGAAGCTCTTTGTTCTGCTCTAGTTTTTCATGTCAAATTCTCTATAAATAATAACCTGGATGAAATGATAACTCTCTTAAATGATCTATTTCAACTTCATTTGCCTTGTGTATTTTGGGTGTGTTACCAGAGAACATTAGTCTATCTGGAAGACAGAGGCTTTGGATACGATCAGTAACCTTAATTGGATGTAGGATAATACTGAGGCACTAGAAATCAGCTGATATCTGCTGTTTTAAGGAACGGACAGAGCTGACGGCCTCATATGAGAGGCTAACCTTCAGTAGTAGAGGGAGAGGAGTTCTGTTTAATCAGGTTTGGGGGTATTTTTGAAATTATTTGGAAAGTATGACGGGATAAATGTGATGTATGTGATAATCCTGAACCAAGGTTTGATATACGGTATAAGATAGGCACTTTTTTGTCTTTGGTTTGATTTTGTTTTTTCTTTTTTTGTTGTTTTTCGTTTTCTTTTCATTTTGGTTTGTGTATTTTTGTTTCCTTCATTGAAAAAAATCTAAATCTAGACAAGTCATTTTTTCTTTAAAAAAGTGGATTTGTTCTTGAATTGAGAAGGTTAAAGAAACATTTTGCCAATGGAACAAGACAATTTACATTCAAAATCAGGAAAACACAATTGCATTGTCTTATTTCAAGTGCATTTTATCTAAATATCTTATTTTAAGACTAAAAATACCCATTCCATTGGCAAATCATCTCATTTACCTACTCAAATTAAGGGTAAATACACTAAATTGAATACATTTTTACCCATTTCTAGATCGTTTTTCCTGTGTTGATATACTCAAAAACAATCTAGAAATAAGTAAAAATGTATTCAATTTAGTGTATTTACCCTTAATTTGAGTTGGTAAATGAGATAGTTTGCCAATGGAATGAATAATTTTACTCTTAAAATAGGATAATTAGATCATACTTACTTGGAATAAGACAATGCAATTGTGTTTTCTTATTTTAAATGTATATTTTTTGTTCCTTTGGCAAAATGTCTCTTTTACCTCCTAAATTCAAGAACAAATGCACTTATTTGAAGAAAAAATGACTTATCTAGATTTGGATTTTTTCCAGTGAGAACTGATGTATATTTATGTAGTTCTTGATTTCATTGATTTGTATGTTTATCTGTCTGCCAAAAAGACTAATAAATATAAAAAAAGAGGCTGGATGACAGACTGAGCAGAGAAGCGGCTGGTTCTCCTGCTCCATGTAGAACAAACAGAATGTAGAAACCCGTGTCTGTTTCTCCTGTATTAAATAGTTGTAGATATATTGCAGCCAGGCTGAGTACGTCTGTAACCTCTGGTTGGAGTTCAGTGTTTCTGATGGATCCGCAGATTTAAAAAAAATCCATTAATCCATTCTTTAGCTCACGCTTTCTTTCACTCTTTGGTTTAAAGCTGAGCCCAGGCATCCTCTGAGGTTACAAGACCCCAACCGGCCGGTTCTGCTCTACCCAAAGCCCGCCCTTCCTGAGCGCCTGGTGGCCCCCCCTCCAGCCAGACCTTCTCTAGCAGTCAAACCTCCCCCACCCATCCCAGCTGCTCGTCCCTCCTCTGCTCCTGCCCTCAGCAGCTCATCAGAACAAATCCAGCAACAGGATGGCAGGCCAATGGAAACCACACAGCAGGTGAGTCAGAACTGCTCATTTCATTTCCCTACATGGATAGAACAGCTGTTAGAACAACGCCCCACCCCTTTCTAAGACATTCATGTCTTAGAAAGTTTACCGTTATCATGTTTGGTGTTCTTATCTAACACTGGAAAAATTTGAAATCTTTTTTTTTCTTAAAATAAATGCATTTTTTGTTGAATTAAGGAGTGTAGTGAGACACTTTCCCGATGGAACAAGGCATTTTACATTTAAAATAAGAAAACACAACTGCATTGTCTTATTTCAAGTGCATATGGTCTAATTACCTTATTTTAAGAGTAAAAATACTCATTCCATTTGCAGATCATCTTATTTACCTGCTTAAATAAAGAGTAAATAAACTTAATTTAAGAAATGTTGACATATTTCTAGATTGCTTTTGCAGTGCACAGTCTAAATGCATTCCTCCCCTGTAGAACGGCAGCCAGGATGGTGCACAGGGTGAAACCCTCCGTCTGTCTCCCAGGAAAGAGCTCCGTCCTTCAGCTCCAAGACCTTGGAGAGGTGATGCTGCTCCAGATCGCAGCGAGAAAGCACAGTCAGTCACTGATGGTATGATCTAGAAGCATTTACAGAGCAGAAAACTAGCTTTAAAAATGTCAAAAGAAAAAAGGTGAAGTAAATATCTTACTAAGGCTTTGGATCATGAGAGGAAATCCAAACATTTGCTCTGGGGGAAACATTTTCTGATTGGAGGAACTAGTCACACGGATCTGATCTGCAGGTTTATCCCTAAAAGTGTTGAAGTGGATCCAAGTCAATGACTGCCGTGTTGCTTGGAAATCGGGCTGAACAATTTAGCCAAAAATCCAAATTGTGATTATTTTCAAACAATATTGTAATTTTATTGTGATTTTCCTTTGCACTAGGTAAACCATGTGGAAGGTTTTTGTTTTTCCTTGAAAGCCTGCTTCTCCAGAATCCAGAGCTGCAGGACTTTACTGTAACATCTGCAAGAAAAAGTTCTTACTTCTACTATAATGCAAAGATCTAGGTGCTAGCTGCAACTCTCTGTTCCCTTCTGCACGACAGCATCCCCACTTTAATCATATTACTGCCACCTAGAGGCTTGGAGGGAGGAATTTAGTGTCTCATGCTACATTCAGACCACAAGCAGCAGAGGAAGCAGGTTTCAATGCAAAGTCAATGGTTGACGCGCATCAAGGCGCAGCAAAAGGTCCTGCAGCATCTAGAGCAGCAGAAGCAGCGACTCATGAACTTCTGAGGCGCTTCAGAAGCAGCAGCTACTGGAGTTGGAAACATTGAATGAGAGAAGCTGATCTGGGAGCTGACAGGGAGTCAGACACAGCACTGCTGATGCAGAGCGCTATGATCACTCCTCTGAAACAGTTTATTAACAACTAAATTAACTTAAAATGTAGAAACCTGCCGGCAGAATATGTTCGCTTTTATTATCCTGGTGCCTTCAGTTTGTAGCACAGACCTGAAAAACGCTAACATCTACTTCCAGCCGCAACCAACAGTAGAGGAAAAACCCCAAGAGGCGAGCGGGCCTGAGGCAGCTGCTGCTGGGGATTCCCAGTGACAGCGCACCGCCGGTATGTGGGGGTCTGAGCGGCTCCCACAGAGAAATAATCTTTGAAGGCAGGATGGTAATCTGGATGAACTGACTGCACAGACCATGTTTTCAGGAGGACTTTCTCACTTCAACATAGATTCAAACTACTTTTTACCTGCTGATCACAGCAAATATAGCTGCCATTGTTCCAGGCAAAGAAAGGATAGGGTAGCTCCGCCCTACTCGCATCAGACCCACTTTACCACCGCACAGCTAGAGAAGCAAAGATGCTTCAGCCGCCAAATGAAGAAGCATGCGGGTTTTTGCTGCTCCTCCTGCGCCCGGTCTGAACGTAGCATTACTCTTGTTAAATGTATAGTGACTAAAATTAAGAGCCTCTGCATTTTGAAAATTGCGTTTTTCTAAATTGCGAGTATATTGCAGGTGCAATTAATTCATCCTCAGATTTCCTACCCAGAATGCTTTGCTCTCACCCAGTGACCCAGCATTTCAGCAGCTTGTTTAAAGCGTGTTAGAGCCTCATTGTGTCTGTTTTTCTTCAGCTGTGGAGTGCTGAGGATGTGAATGTGTTCAGAGCTCATTAAGCATTAGTGTTTTGAGGGGAAGTGTAGTTGCTGAATGCTCCCAGGCTCTTATATAGACACCTTCATCTGTTTTTTCTTATATATACACCATACTGCCAAAAGTATTCACTCACCTGCCCTTACTCACATACAGGGCCGGCGATTGCTATAGGCGAGCTAGGCAATTGCCTAGGGCGACAAATGTGTTGGGGGCGCCCTCTTTAGCGTCGCCCTTAGGCTTACTTCCCATTAATCATAGAATTAGAAAAAAAAGCGAATTAAACCGGTTATGAAGCGTCCGTCAGTTTGACTTAACCTTACGTATATATAAATAGCAAAATATGAACAAATAAATATACCACCGTTTTTTTTTTGTTTTTTTCACATTTAAGAGAAAATCGGAAAAGATTCTGATCACTTTGCAAGCGCCCTCCAACCCGGAAGTCGTGACGTCAATCACTGCAGCATGTACACCAATATTTTGGAATGAAATTGTAAGCAAACAGATATTAGAAGTAAAACAAGTGAAGTCTGGCAGTTAACTTAGCTCGCTACTCGAGGATGGCTGAACGGAAAAGACTCCTCCTCCTGCCGCCGCGGTCGGCCCCGTCTTAATCATCCACTCAGAGTACCACTGGTGAGCGCACACAGACTTTGTAGCTTGTCCGGTCAGTTAAAAATATTAATTGTGAAATCCGTGTTGTAATCGGAAGCATACAAGCTAGTTAGCTTGAAAAGTAAATAAAGTTTCAGACGTGCTGCGTGATGATGTGTTCAGATTGGCTCAGTAAAACGACAATTAGGTTATCATGATGCGTTCAAGTGTAACGTAAAGAAAACGGGAAATTTAGTTTTGGCGAGAAACATGAGTAATACAGTTGTATATTGCTCTATATATAATTAAACTACTGATGCCAACATTTATTAAAAATTACATTTAATTTAAAATACAATTATTTATTTGTTAAATATTTTCCTAATCACTGAAAACATGATGAAAAGTGACAGTAGACAATACATTAACCAACAATTGTGAAAATATATTGTAGTTAGTTTTATGTCATTTCGAAGTGGCCTATTACATTAGCCATGTTTATTGAAGGCTAGAAACGTTTTTGTTATGCTCACTTGTTAAGCAATAAAAGCAATACCAGTTCTGTTAAAAAAATTTTGTTGCATCGTCTTTCCACCAAATAACAGAAAAGTATCGATAGTTGTATCGATAAAGACTCGGATCGATAAGGAGTATCGATAAAGGTATTGATATCAATAAATATTAACGATCCCCATCCCTAATGTTGACATCATTTTTTCTCAGTATATATGCAGCAGAATTATGTGCTATATTATTAGCTTGAGAATGGGTAGAAGATACTAATATAAATAAAATATTTTGTAGTGATTATCTGCATTGAGTATTCAAAAGGGATGTACAAATAATCATCAAAATATATGAAGTTATGGCTGTTCATCATAGAATATGTGAACAAAAAAAAAACAACAACTTCAAACTTTTAATTTTGTAATAGTATTCATAAAAGCACTTTTGTTTGTAGAGGGTTAATCCTTTCTTTAATCACTAATCAATGTCAGAAATCAGGGTAAATATACCTGATATATTTTATTTAGAGGAAAATTTTGCTTATCTCATTACTATTTATTGTCAAACGATTTAATTGAACTGGAACAGAAAATTTAATTTAATGTTTATCAATTACTTTTTTATGTAGTCCTTGGTTGAAGAATTTCTTAAATTTATTATTTTTTATTGTTATTTGGTAATTTCTGAAATTGATTTATTTAATATTTGTTTAATGTGTGTTAAATTTGTTAATTGTCTGAAATAAATTCATTCAATGATTCAATCCAGTTTTTTAGTTATACTTTACCTAAGTGTCCTTACAGATGGTTAAAAGTGTTTTTGCACAGTCCTAACTTTGAGTGTGTAATAAATTATTTAAAATAATAAAAAAGAAAAGGTACTGAAACCTATTCTGGTATTTGTCTATGCATCACTCCATGCTAAGTTACAGTTTTTTCTGAATGCTTAAACACAACCTTGATTCTTATAGCACAATTTCTAAAACTATTAATACTTATAGCAAATCCACTCACTGAGTTCACAAAACTAAAAGAACAAACACTGCTTTGCACTCAATTTGCAATTTTGTAACACACACTTTGCACAACTGTAGGCACAATTCACCGCACAGCACTCTTTGTGGAACTGTAAACACAACTCAATGAAGCACTAAACAGATGCTGAAAACAGTACTGGTATTTCGCACGGCAAAAGTGAGGGGGGGGGGGGGGGGGTTGGGGGCTCAAAACTCAATCTCGCCTAGGGCAACCAAAGGGCTAGAACCGGCCCTGCTCACATATGAGCTTCAGTGATAGAACACCTGAACGTCAGTCCACCCTTTGCAGGGAGAATAGCTTTAACTCTTCTGGGAATGCTGTCCATGAGCTCTAGGAGTGTTTTTTGGGAATTTTAAGGCATTTTTCCAGATGTGCATTTGTGAGTTCAAACCCTGATGTTGGACAGAAGGCCTGGCTCTCAGTCTGTGCTCGAATTCATCCTAAAGCTTCTCTATGGGTCTGAACTCTGTGCAGGTCAGTCAGGTTCCTCCACAGCAGACTTGCTTTGTGCTCTGGTCCACAGTAGGTGCAGCAGGGAGATCCAAACTGTCGTCCAAAATTTCTTAAGTCTGCTGAAGCATTCAGAGTTCTTCTCATTGGAACAAAGGAGCGGAGCCCAGCTCCTGAAAAACACCCTCTTGGCACAACGCAGTCAGACGAGTACTGTTCTCCTGGCAACCATCAGGTTCCCAGATGGAGAAGCACGGTTCATCCCTCCAGAGAACAGCGTCCTTTCCACCACTGCCTCCAACGCTTTGCAATTACTCTGATGTTTGCCTGCAGCTGCTCCACCATGGAAACCCGTTCCATGAAGCTCTGTTCTGGAGCTGATCAGAAGGCGGTTTGAAGCATGGAGAGGCGTAGTGATTGACTCTGAAAAAAGATGGTGACCTCTTTCCTCTACGTGCTCCAGCATCCAGTGACCCCGCTCCAGCAGCGTACATGACCTAACACTTCCTGGATGTTGCTGTCGTTTGGTTTTCTTATGATACGGCTGACGGTCAGTGGAAATTTCCTGACTATATTTGCTGCAAAGATGGCATCCTCTCACCGGATGGACTTCACTGAGCTGCTGACATAAGCCCAGGGACGGATTTAAGAAATTCGGGGCCCTAGGCAAAGACAGACAGGGGGCCCTCTGAGCTGAGAAGAAAAAACATAAAACAGACCCATTATACAGATAGAGAAATATTAATAGAATAGACATCCATTATCTGTTCTAGGTTTTGTCCCTCTCTTCTTGTCCCTTTTCTTCTTGTTTTCCTCTCTATGTTTTGTACTCAGCTGACTTTTCATGCTGTCTCTAAAGGAATGAAATATTTTTTCCAAGCACTAAGCTCACTTAGCTGATTGCTCCTTCCTGTGTTTCCAAAAAGGCCAAAGTAAATAACCCAGTCCTTCTTTTCACTGTAGACAAGCCATGATCTGCTTATCTGTTCTCCATTTTTCATTTGGATGAAATAATAGCTGCATGAATCATGACAGCAGACAAGATAGAGGAGAGCAGGAGGCGGGGTTACCAATCTACTAGCTCTGGAGAGCAGAGTTCGCTGCTTTTAGATGTTGTCTCCAAAGTCTCCAGTAGCAGAAAAAAGTCTCTAGATTTGGCGCTAGGAGCTTTTTAGAAATCAAAGTGCTAGAGGGGTCTGAAAAGTGGCTAAATATAGCGACTAAAGCGCTAAGTTGGCAACACTGCTCTTTGCATGGTTTGTTTTCAAATGGTTTGCTGCTGTCTGTTTGGACCTTTCTGAACATGTGCAGCAAATGGACTGATCCAATATGGTGGACACTGAAGGGGGGGCTGAGACACACTTAAAATTATCCGCGTTCTGATGACATTTTAGTGAAAGGATTTTTATCAAACATAATTAATGTGAACAAATAAGGAATAGTTGCATTAATCATACATGGAAACGGAGTTTAAATGGAAGTGATTGGAAGACCTGATTCCAATTACAATAATTTGGATGAAGGACCAAAATACTTCAGGCAGCACATTTATATATATATATATATATATATATATATATATGTATATATATATATATATATATATATATATATATATATATATATATATATATATATATAACACATGATGAACATTCCTATGTATGTGGTGTGTCTGATTGTTTTGCCTTTTGTTTTCTGCTTCTTTTAGAGAGTCTTCCTAAACTACGGCAACACCTGAAGCCCCTCCCACAACGCAGAGCTATATCTGTTCATGAGGAAGCATTGGCCATGACACAAGGTAGACCTCCAGGTTTTCACATGTCTAGGGTTCCATATTGACGCTGTTGTTCATCGTTTTACACCCTGAGGTTATTGTGACACCGACTAGCTTTCAGTTTTTCTTTTTTTTTTTTTAGAACTCAAGGCTGTACTGCAGAGGTCCCCCATCCGTTACCGGGGTAATCGCCCGGATCTACCGTCCTGCAGTGAAGATGAAGCACAAAGTATTGATGATGGAAATGATTTGAACATTTTTTGTTATTAAATGGTCTAATTAGTGTACCTGTTCTTTCTTCATCTGTTCCACAGCGAAACAGTCGGAGAAAGAACAGGTGAAGAACCAGATGGATGAACAGAAGGCAGAGAGAGGACCAACAGTTGGAGGAACTACCAACAAGGAACTCTTTTTCACAGCAGAGTCTTCCTCTGCTACTAGAATGAGGAATTCACCTGACAAGACGCTTCCTGTCATGGAGAGACCTCCTGATCCACCCAGAAAGGTGGGAAGGTCCCCCGTCACCCTCACGTCTGAGAGCAAGAGCCCCAGCAAGTTATCAGCTTCTTCACCACTGCAGGAAAAGAGCCCGAGCCCACTGCTAGCTGGCCCTAAATCTCCAGAGTTAGCTCAACTAAGCCCCGCCTCCCAGAAGAAGAGCAGCTCTGTGGCATCGGATCAGAGGAGAGGAAAAGGACTTTCTCCACCGCACAGCGAGCCGGCCGAGCACAGAACCGAGGCCTGTCTGTTTGACTGACGCACAGAGACCGTCCTGCACTCCAAGAGACCGTCCTGCACGCACAGAGACCGTCCTGCACGCACAGAGACTGTCCTGCACGCACAGGGACCTTCCTACGTGCAAGGAGACCGTCCTGCATGCACAGACACTGTCCTGTGCACCCAGAGACCGTCCTGTGCACCCAGAGACCGTCCCACGTGCCCAAATACCGTCCTGCGCACACAGAGACCGTCCTGCGCGCCCAGAGACCATCCTGCGTGCACGAAGACCGTCCTGCACGCACAGAGACTGTCCTGCACTCTACCTTACGTGCAAGGAGACCGTCCTGCATGCACAGACACTGTCCTGTGCACCCAGAGACCGTCCTGCGCGACCAGAGACCGTCCTGCGCGCACGAAGACTGTCCTGCACGCACAGAGACCGTCCTGCGCGCCCAGAGACCATCCTGCACGCACGAAGACTGTCCTGCACGCACAGAGACCGTCCTGCGCGCCCGGAGACCGTCCTGCGCGCCCAGAGACCGTCCTGCATGCACAGAGACCGTACTGCGCACACAGAGACCGTCCTACGTGCCCAAAAACTGTCCTGCGCACACAGAGACTGTCCTGCGCGCCCAGAGACCATCTTGCGCGCACAAAGACCGTCCTGCGCGCCCAGAGACTGTCCTGTGCGCACAGAGACCGTCCTGCGCGCCCAGAGACCGTCCTGCGCGCACAGAGACCGTCCTGCGCGCCCAGAGACCGTCCTGCGCGCACAGAGACCGTCCTGCACGCACAGAGATCGTACTGCACGTACAAAGACCGTCCTACGCGCCCAGAGACCGTCCTGGGAGCACAGAGACCATCCTGCGCACACGGATACTGTCCTGGAAGAGCTTGGCCACATCAGGACACTCAGATGTCTGTCTCTCGTTTTTCAACTTCTGGGGGTGAAAACATTTTTTCCAGCTGGAGGGATGGATCCTTTCTGTTGGTCTTATTGGCTGGTTCATCAGCCGGCTAAAATGTGCTACAGTCTGCTGACCGTGACGACAGCTCCTCTTCTAAATAAAGACTTTAGTCTTCTTTCTTAGTTTTCAAACTCACAGTTTTTAACCACTAACGTTGGGTTTTCTGTAACCTGACTTTTATCAGCATGAAATATGGATTTTTGACTCATTTGACATATTTATGTTTCAAAACTTCAGCATATGATGTCAAAAAACACTGTCTGCTTATACAGGGCTAAAGGAAACTCAGAGGCTTATGGTGACCTTGAGGTTTATGTTTTATTTACAGATTTGTAGTTTTAATGCCTTGAAAAAATGGGCAAAGTGCTGTATGAGCTGCAGTTCATTGGTTAAATTATCAAACTAAAGTCCTTTCTTTTATGGGTTGAGTTTTGTTCCAATATCATTGTAAAAAAAAAAAAAAAAAAAAAAAGAGGAAGAAAAAAACACGTTTTGTAAAAATTTGAAAATGTAATCCAGACATGAGACCTCGAAAAAAAAACGTAATCAAAAGATTTTTTTTCTCAATTTTTTTTTCTCAAATCTCTGCTTTTACACAAATTTGCAAATCAGTTTTGCAAATTTCATTTATTTGAAATTGAATTTTCCAGATAATGTCCCTTTCACTTCTGATGGCGGGCTTTCTATTGGTCAGATGGATGTTAGCAACAGTTTTACAGGTGAAGAGAATGTGATCTGGAAAACACAATCTGAAAAGAATGGATTTAGAAAACTCTATCAGAAAGAGAAATTTGAAGAAAAAAAATTTAAAAAATATAAATATATATTTTAAAAAGTCAAATCAGAGAAAACAACGTAACTCTCAAAGAATTTTTAATAATATGTTTTTAAATGAAAAGTCCGCTCATATTCAGAATCCAAACTTCTGAAAGTTCTTTAAATATGAAATTATTCCATCCTGTTCAATAAATGATCAGTGTTTTTAATTCAGAGTAACTTTCATTTGAATGTGCTTTACTGGAGGCATCCATGTTTGTCAAAGAACACTGCTGCCACCTACTGGTTTGTGACGTCACGGTGCGGTATCGGCTGCTGATCAAGTCCCAGTGCTGTATCTGGTGTTTGTCACAACGCGCTATTATCCAAGTCATCTTGAAAACATTCTTCTTCCAAATGTTGGCTACATATTACGTGTTTTTTCTCTGGCCAGAAGTTCGATGGCAAATCCTCCCTCTTCAAGTTGGCGATCCAACGACCAACCCGTCCGTGGAGGATCAGGAATCAGAAAGGTGAAATAACTATTTTATTTCACTTTTCCCGGATGTATTCCACAATCCAGCTGCCATGCACGTGGGCATTGTCAGTTTCACTATAGCTCTGGTGAATTTCAATGGTGAAGTCCTCTGGAAATCTTCAATAATTGATTGCAGATGTGTCTAGTAGTTCCCATTGATTCTGCTTGTAAAGCGGGGAGAATGGCGCTAGGCTTACCGCACCGTGACGTCACTGCTGGAAGACGGCAGGAGGGAGGAGTTACTATATTTGGGCAAAAATGGCCGCTCCCAGACTCAGTGATTGAAATGAAAATGATTACCGGTATTTTAATTTTTTTACTCATTAACACTAAATTCATTAAATCACCGCTAACATATTAGTTTTAGGCATAAATAATGATCCATTGATTATTCTTTGCTGACCGGACTCCTCCTTTAAAGCTTGCTTTTTTGGGGGGGATTGTGTCTTTTTACATTTATAAAATTTTGTCTCAGTCAATAATAATAATTTAGGGCTTCGTGATTGTGACCCATCAGTACTGTAGATTTGCTGCAGGCTTAAACACAGAGTAGTTTTCCAGCTGGGAAGAACCCCCAGAAATCTTTATGCTATTTTAAAACAAAAACAGTCTCTACAAAAATGTTAATAAAATAATGTCTATGGTTTTTATTTTCCTTAAAGTTTGAAATCTAGATGCATATATTTATAAGATATAAATATTTAGAAAATTCTCAGGCCCTGAACTACTTTCTAATATGGATCAATGGCGCAGTAAAATTCATTGCAGAAATATTTCCAGTTCTCTGTAGAAAATCAGTGCTGCAGTTTATTATTAAATGATTTTCTCTTTCCAAAATCAGACTTTATTAAAAGTATAAATGAACAAGTGTGAGACAACTGAACACCACAATGAGTGCAGACATCCCTGATTTGCAATCCTGCTATACCTAGACATATTTAGCTAGAGCCACAGAGGCAGTTTTGGTTGCACTGGTTCCGGCGTTTGATGAGGGGTTGTAGACTGGGAACAAACTCATTAAACCGTCACACGGGCCGTTTCTCAATTCAAGTCTGTTCTTGAGAAGAACCCAGGAAAGAGAACTCTGGGAGAACGGGAGCATGCAGAATAAATCTGGGTCAATTGGAACAGAAGCGTACTGATGACATCACCACATTCAAAGCTAGTCTGGAGCTGCATTTCACCTCCTGTTATTAGTCTCTAGATAATAATAAATTATTCCTTTTTTCATTTAGTGGGGGAATAATAATAAACGCAGTCAGATAAACACAAATCAAATGAACATTTTGCAAAATAAAACAAAACCTTGCCATCAGAGCCAGCGGTCCTTCACACATATGCTATGCAGAGAGAGGGCTGCTGCAGACGGGCTAACGTTAGCCCTGGCTGCTGCAGACGGGCTAACGTTAGCCCTGGCTGCTGCAGACGGGCTAACGTTAGCCCTGGCTGCTGCAGACGGGCTAACGTTAGCCATGGCTGCTGCAGACGGGCTAACGTTAGCCATGGCTGCTGCAGACGGGCTAACGTTAGCCCTGGCTTCTGCAGACGGGCTAACGTTAGCCCTGGCTGCTGCAGACGGGCTAACGTAAGCCCTGGCTGCTGCAGGATGGGCTAATGTTAGCCCTGGCTGCTGTTAGCCTCGGAGCTCCGCCAGTTACCGTTAAAATTATGCATTAAATGGGTAAATGAGCCCTATAGTGAAGCTTAAAGTATCCTCGACTCAAATGATCTTAAAACTTACTTTTATTGAACAATGGCAACAGAAAATGACTTTTAACGTAATATTCTGAGCTCTGTGAGCGCTAACCTGGAAGCTGCTGCTGCCACAGTGCATGCTGGGACAGCTATCAGTCTCAAGAATGGACAAGTCTTCTCTGATGCATGCTGGGTAAAGAGGGAGGGGCCAGAACAACATCAGGGGATTTTATCCGTTCTCCATCTGCTTTTCTTGTTAATTGGAAAAGTGCTAGGGCTTAGGTTGATGACGTTTCACAAGCACACAAGGACGCACAAGTACACAGATTGAGAAATGTCCATAGACACCCACAATCCTAGCCAGTTCCTGATTGGCCCTCTTGCGTTGTGGGCGTGGAATTACAGCGCAGACCACGCTTCAAAATTGGGCATAAATCAAAAATCTGCATCATACCTGCGACAAGCTAACTGCGACACACTGCTGCAGGAGTTTACACAGCCCTTTAGATGTGAGCTTTACGGTTTACAACCAACAGATTCAGAACAAATAATCCCAATATGAACTTATTTGTTTTGTTGAAATTGTTTCTTTTCAATTTTTAGTCTAATGTGCCATTTAAAATTCCTGTTAGTATTTGTTGCTTCCAGTTTACAAGTCTGTTTAACTTTTCTGTTGACTTTGCTGCTATAAACGACACATTTATTTGGCAAAAGAAACATTCTGAATAAGGAATTAAAACGTAATACTATGGTTATGTATGCTACAACTCCTATTGCACTTTGAAGCCAGTTGTAATAATGTAGGCAGGGAGCAAAGTTAGAAGGGAATAAATTCATTAGGCTGAATCTTATTTACTGAGCTGGTGTCAGAAATCGGGAAAGTAAACAATGGAGAGCAACATGGAGGGGAGCCAGTCCATAGTCAGTGTGCTTTATTGTTTTAATCTGTTGTCCATCCAAATCCCACTCACCAGTGCTGTGCCATTTTTATTGAGGGTAGGCAGAGTGGTTACGGCTTGTTAGATCAGTTGCGACTGGCACAGTGCGTTGACGTCTGTGGAATCACGTAAATTAGCTAGTCGACCTGGGTCGGTCGTTCCCACTGTATTCCAATCAGAGCTGAGCCATTTGAAGGTCATTTTTAACCTGAGTTGCTTGCCGACCCATGTCGATTCGCATCAGCGAGCTGTTCCCACTGCCACCAAGAGCCAACACTTGGCCTTAAAAGGGCAAAAACTTGTACAGTGAATGTCACTCAGGGGGGATTTACCATTAGGCAATACTAGGCAGTAGCCTAGGGCCCCAAGTTCCTCGGGGTCCCATAAAACTGTGTTTCCAGGTATGGTTAATAC